AAGAGCGGTCCCGTTCCCAGATCTTAAACGGCAATCTCAGCCTTCTGGTTCTGTTCACTCAGAGCAAAATGCTAAGCAACCTGCTGAGCTAAAAGACCAAGTGCCTAAAATTGCACTTGCATTCTACTCTCAACTTTCTAATCTTCAATCTGGCATTTCAGAAGCACCTGAGCACCGGTCCACAGCTGTTAAGATACCTGTAGCAGATAATGTGCCAAAGATTGATACAGGTCTTTCACTGAGTGGAAAAGTCCTTCCACCACAAATGGAGGAGCCAAAGGTTGATGAACCAGTTGAGGTGCTACAAGAAACTGAAGCCCCCAAGCCGATGAAAGGACCTAATGAAGTGGAGACAAATGAAGAATCAAAAACAGAACCAGAATCTGAACCACTTGTTGACACCTTGCTCGGTGCTGAAGCCTCCAAGCTGATGAAAGGACCTAATGAAGTTGAGGCAACTGAAGAGTCAGAATTTGAACCCGCTGCTGACGTGTTCCCTGGTATTGAGACTTCCACACTGGTGAAAGGACCTACTGATGTTGAGGCAAACAAAGAATCGAAGGAAGAACCGGCACCTACGCCAGTTGTTGACATATCTCAGGGCGTTGAAGCTGTTGTTAAGGAACCTGAGATTCATGATGCAGCTCTGAGCTCTGACCCTAGGAATGATTCGACTTGTGATGAGGTGAAGACTCTGAATCTAGAACTCAACCAAGCACCTGTGGCTTCTGAACCCGCATTCGAGAATTCTGAGTTGGTCAACAATTCAATGAAGAAACATGGCAATGAAGAAGGTGTTCTGGCAGAACCGCAATTGGGGCATGCTGTTGAGGTTCCCAATGGAGAAGGTAAGCCACCTGTGGGTGATTCTACTAAAATTACTGGTGCAGTCTCTTTCTCGGCAGTGAAACACAGAGAAGAGGCCATTCGTTCTGAATCCAAGCCTACATCTGAAGGACGTGTTCCACCTGAGCTAACCGAATTGGAGATCCGCAGTCCTTCCGGTGAAATTATCAACATGGAATGTGATGAAACGGATGCTTTGCAGTCTTAGATATATTCATTGGTGTCAAACAATCTCAGCAGGATTTGCAACTTGTTTTTGGAGGAAGGACAGGAGAAACTAATAAAAACAGACAACGTAGTCTCTTAGTTGCCATATTATGAAAATCATTCTATAGGCATAGACAAAAAAATTTTGTAGACCCTTTTTTTTTCCCCCCCTATTGACAGCTTATGATGGTTTTAATTTTCGATGTGGCAACTATTCTCCTCTTTTCTGTAGGAGCCGTTTTATCTTAGAGTAATTATAGTTTCCGTTAATTTCTTCATTTGTTTCTTTATATGTTGCCCAAATCTTGTTTTGCGTCTTCTCAGGTAACAAACTTACAACTCCAGGATGGACAGGACTGAATAGGGAAATTGATCATGATTGATCCATCGCCTGTTAAGTTGGATTTTTTGTGGTTGCATTGTTATTAATGCGCTATTTTTACATGGCATATATTTGATTAGAATAATATAGCTGAACTTATTATCTTCTTTCTATAATGTGTATTTTGTTGGCAAAAAAGTTGAGATATAGTTTATCTTTTTGCAACTATTTACTTTTGCCTGCTTCGCCTTTTCAGGGAACAGAGAGAGAGAGGAGAGAGAGAGAGAGAGGAAAACATGATTTTATGCGTGTTTCAGTGAATCAACTAATGGCATCTCAATCATTTTAGGCATACATCATAACCTCTGGCTAAATCTTATTATGTAAATATTTTGTAAAAATACCCATATTTCTATTGTATTAAAGTTAGAATAATATGTACATAAAATAGAATGCTGAAATCATTTTTTTAGAATGCAAGAATTATCTTATAATCAAATAATAATTAATTTTAATGAAATTTGAAAAAACTAATTTAAAACTTCATTACTTGTAGAGTATGCTTTTGTAAAAACGACACAACGTGCCATTGCATCTTATGAAGGTTGAAGTTGAAAAATAGAAAATAGGATAATTGACACAAATGGTCCCCCAAATTTATCAAAAAGTGATAGTTTGGTCCTTAAACTTTTTTTTATGAAACGAGCTCCAAACTATTTAAAAATGTGTAATGTTGTCCTTTCCGTTAAATACCGTCCAAAAATATGGATCAAATCATAACCTATTAAAGTCGATTGTGACTAAAAAATCACCTCATAATAAGAGACCGTAATATCATCCTTTTAGGTTATTATGCCGTTATTTTTTGGACGGCATCTGACGAAAAAGACTACATTACACCTTTTTAAATAGTTTAAGGTTCGTTTCGTCAAAATAAAAATTTAAAGACCAAACTATCTATCTTTTAAAGAGTTTGGAAATCATTCATGTAATTTATCCTAGAAAATATTACAACTTAGGAACATTTCCTTTTTGGTCCATGGCATAATGGACACATATGTAACTCGAAAAAGAGAGAAATAAGCCAAGATTTGAGATGAATTATAATTAATAAGCCAATAGTTTACATAAGTTAATAAAAAAGGCCAAATTACTGTTTTCGTCCATAACTTATCTAGTTATGAACCATAACTTGACAAGTTATTGTCCATAATTATCCATAACTTGTCTGGGTATGAACCATAACTTGACAAGTTTATCCATAATTTATCTGATTATGAACCATAACTTAATAAGTTATAGCCTCTTAATTTATATAATTAAAAATTAACTTATATACTTTCTTCAGCTTTTCATATTGGTTTATTTTCTACTATTTGTTATATCTCTTACAAGCCCAATTACGGCCCAGTACATGTGCTTCTTACCCAACCCAGTCACCTTATAAGCCCAGGCCCGCCAATATGAAACCCGTATCCGCATTCCGTACCCTCTCTTCCTCACGCTTCCATCAGTCTCCGGTCGATTCCGACGACAAGATATATTCATGAGATCCTTGCATTTGTCACTTTGTGTACAAGGAAAGCAATAAACTGTGAGTACGTTTAGAATTAATTTTAAATTATTTTTAAAAATATTTTTGTATGTTATCAAGGTAAAAACAGTTTGTAAAATGGATTTGTTTAACAAATATTTTGAGAATGAAAATAAAAATAAAAATAAAAAATAGTATGAATGATTTTTGTTAATTAAAAAATAATTAAAAATTATTTTCTCTTTTATATTTTTATTTTTTAATATTTATCAATAATTTTATAATATATTAATTAATAATTATAACTAAACACAATTTTATTTTTTTATTATACTCAAAATAATTTCTTAAAAAATTAACTAAATAAAATTTCAAAATTATTTTCAAAACAATTTTCAAAATAATCTCATATTTTATTTTAAACTAAAAATAAAATTATTTTAAAAACATTACCACACGGCCTTTTGCATTTCTCATTCAGAGCTTTCGATTCGTCCCATGTTCTGAATATCTATCTAGTTTCAGCTTTGCTTCGAAAAAACCATCCTCAGTCAGAGATTCAGAACAAAGCTCGAGAGAGAGAGAGAGAAAGATGGACATAATATCGCAGTTGCAGGAGCAAGTGAACACAATAGCTGCTCTGGCCTTCAATACGTTCGGAACACTGCAAAGAGACGCTCCTCCGGTCAGGCTCTCCCCCAACTACCCGGAGCCGCCTCCTGTTACCGCCGACGACTCCTCCAAGTTCGCCGAACAGCCCAAGCTCTTGAGCGCTTCTCTCGTTAAGGCCGCTAAACAGGTCCTATTTTCTTTTTCTTTTGAATTGTTTGGAAATTTTCGGCGGATTTATACTTTGGTGGAGATTTTTCTTTTTTAACCTAGAAATCCATTTCAAAGAGGGGAATTAATGTTTGTTAGCGTCGGTTTTAATTGAATTAGGGGTTTAAACGGGTGATTTTGGCTGTGTGAATAGAATAATAATGATTGTTAATCGGAATTATTTAGGGTGGGGAAGAACTTTGTGGAACAGTAAATATTTAGTATTGACGAAAATACGATATTTGGTGCATAAATTTGAATGGAATTTATGGCAGTTGTGTAATCAAAATGTTAAAATGGGATTATTGGCATCATAAGTTGATCTATTAGCACTTCACTTCCTTTTTTTTTCTCCTGATTATGGGTTGTATCAGATATGGCTAGGGATGGTAATTTTACCAGTTAACCCATTTATCTCGCTACCCGCATTAAACGGGGTGGGGAAAATTCGTTTTGGCGAGAAGACCACCCTGCCCCAAATCCGCACCGTAGCCATCCTAGATATGGCTCTGTAGAGTATTAGACTATTGGGACTACAAATATTCAGATTATGATTCATGAGAGTTATTCTTTGGCTCATTTTCTGTGCAATGGTCATCAACTGTTTTAGTTCCTGTGGCGCAACTGTTTTTGACCAACTGTTTCTTGTGCAGTTTGATGCTTTGGTAGCGGCACTCCCATTATCCGATGGAGGTGAAGAAGCACAGCTGAAGCGGATAGCAGAACTACAGGTATGTAGTCGACTGGCTATGACCCGTTGAAGATTCATAAGTTTCCATTTAGTTTTCTTTGTGTTCATAGGTTCAACTCTCACATTATTACTCTGTTATTTTTTGTTTTTATTGTTTTGTTGGCGGATATGGAACTATATAGGCCGAAAATGACACTGTAGGGCAAGAACTTCAGAGGCAACTTGAAGCTGCAGGTCTAAGTTTTCTTTTCCCTCCTGCTAGATTTGTTGAAGTTTTCATTTCCGGAGTCGTCTTTGCTTCATTTTTCTGTGTTTTTGTGCATGTGTGTGAGGGAGAGATGCCAAGAAGGGTAGTTAGTTGCGTTTAGTGCTAATCCAACTAATGTATATCGGTATATGACACACTCAAAGAACCATAGGGCATTCTGTTGATTGAAATAGAAAGAATATCAATCATATTTATCAGAATGAAGGCCAGTAACATCCTATGTTTAGCACCATCTTATAAATGCCTCTGTAATTGCACCTTTGTCTGATGTTTGAAGCGCACAGTTATTTTCCATAAACATATCTAGATGAAAGCATTCCTTAATTGCTTGAGAAATGGTAACGAAGTTCTTGTCCTCTTAATATGAACTCCATTGTTATTTTGTACTCCAGTTCCGCCGGATTGAGATTACCAGTGAGCAAAACACTTGTATTAAACGAGTCATAGGCCATTGTAAAGCTGTATTATGCTACTCTCAACTCTGTCTTCTATCCTTTTCTTTTTCTCTTTCTCTTTTTGTTTACAAGGCTTTTTGCTAAAATGATAACCTGCAAACATCAATCATGAGGTATATTTAATCGTCCATTTTCCTATGTGCCATTTTTTTCGTTTAGCAGTTCCTTTTAAAAATATACAATCTGGGATTCTCTTCTCAATGTCTTGTCTTTTGTTGATTTCAGAGAACGAACTAAAACAGGTCCAGGAATTGTTCAGCCAAGCAGCGGATAATTGCCTAAACTTGAAGAAACCAGATTAAGTAGAAATGACATGATCGACCAGAATTGCCTGTACTTGAAGAAACCAGATCGAGGCCGGATAGTCTTACAGCATCAGCCAAATAATTGACTCATTTTTGCTTTTCTTTGCAACTTGTTTATATACTAGTTCCTTTCTTTTGTGGATACTTATGCTTAATTGATGTTAAGAACCAAGATTATCATGCTTGGAGTTGAATATTATCTTAATCGACTTTCCTAATTTCTTCCGAATAGAAAGGTCAATGGGGAAGATAATTCCCGATTTGGGGAAACTATTCAAAATGGCCATATATAATTGATTTCTGTTCATGATTGAGATTTGAGGGGTTTTCTTGCTCAAATAGTACCGAATTTTCAGCTTCTTAGGATTGTAGAATAACGTTTAGTATGGGAACAAAATAAAGTGTGTAAAGTTCAGAAATAAATCTAACAAATAACGTTATGGGGACAAAATGAGTACGTCATTGTTGCTATATCTATAATATCCTGAAAATTAAGCTAAATTTTAAATCAACGTATAAAATTTTATCATGTAGTGTAATTATCTATTTCTTCTTCTCTTATATGGAATTTTGCCATGTAGTTAATAATCCTTATATCTTCTATTTAAGAAGCGCGGATGTTGTGAACTTTTAGTACTCTTAACTGTTTGTTTGCTTGCTTCTTTTTTTTTTTTTTTTTTTTTTTTTTTTTTTTCCTCTGCTTGCTTGTTTTCAAGTTATTTTTTTAGATTGTATTTTCAGCTTTTTTTCCCTTTCCATTATCTTTAATTGTGTTTTAAATGTTGTTTTTTTTTTTCTTTTTCTTTAGATATTGCATTAAAATATTTTTTCATTAATTGTCTTTAAACACATCATTTTTTTTTTTTTAACTTCCATAAATATTTCACTTTTGAATCTCTATACTCTTTACATATAGCCATACTTATAGTAGAGAAGATGTATATATTTTTTCAACTTTTTTTTCAACCATCAGAAAACATAACATGAAATTGTTGATTTTCATAGAATCATAATTTTATTTAGGTTAAAATTTAAACCTTCCTAATCATTTTATACTGATACTGGAAAATTTTTTATGAATATCATCTTTTAGTTTGAAAAATAATTATAAGGTGGCTATATTTATTATGTTTGTCATTATAAGAACATTGTTGGCATTAAAAAAAAAAAAACATGGTTAGCTTGTCGTGTTTTAGTTTGACTAAAAAAAAGAAACAGTCGAATTATTAGTTGATTTGTTTATTTCTTTTCAAAGAAACAATACATTACTTATCATACATAATAATTTTAAATAAACTTGAAAACGTTAATAACGTCCCTCAAGCTAGTGTTATGTAAGAAATAATATGTCTATGCTGGGAAGATATGTTCTAAATATCGTGGAGTGGAAACTGTAAATATTTATACTGACAGATGTGATTACCTGTGGTGAAAATATGCAGAGATAGAAATCTTTTCGAAAACTACAAGTAATATATATATATATATATTTATATGTATTTTTTTTTCTTGAAAATAGGACTTCTATTGAAGCTAAACCAAATCGTCTTGGGCTACAAAATTAGGGATACTATCAATCCCACAAATATCACAATTCACCCTATAGACGTAGGAGGCAAGAATATGCGCCACAACATTCGCCTCTCTACATAGTGACACTTTCCAATTGCCTACAGTGGACAGTAGACTAAGGATATCCTCAATAACAGCTCCTTCTTCGCCCAAAGTAGCTCCCCCGCCCCATTCACCACTCGTGCCACTCTACTAACATCCACTTCAATATCATGAACATCAAGACCACATTGGCGAGCAAAAACCAATCCCTCCCTCAACGCAATACATTCTGCTATAAAGAGAACGAGCCAGGAAGCTTTTTAGCTAAGCAAGCCCACACAACTCCTTCAGCATCCCTGACCACTGCTCCAACTCCAATATAATCCTGATGGGACCGAACAGATGCGTCTGTATTCAGTTTTAATCGGCAAGTTTCAGGAGCTCGCCAGATCTCATCGCGCAATGGACGCGAGTCTTGATGAGCATCCTCTCTCTCCCCACACTGCTGGTAGCCGTATAAGACTCTGCCCGCCATCTCCAAGATTTCAGCAGCAGATCGACTAACATTCTGATGTAGAAGCTGATTGCGGCTCCCCCAAATTGCCCATGAGATTACACAAAAAAATCTCAAGTTCAGTCGCACATAAACCATCAAAACATCCCACATCTGCCAGTTTTAGTTTAGGCCACAGTGCACACGACTCCCAGACCACCCGTGAAGAGTCACAACTCCAAAGCGCATGCCAACTGGATTCATCTCCATTACAACACCATTTACAGCAGGTGTTGCATTTTATCCCCCTCCTACTTAATCCAACAGAGCAAGGCAAAATGTCAACAACAGCTCTCCACATAAAATTTTTTATCTTACTTGGAATATGCAGGGTCCACAGTTTCTTCTACCAGCCCCTATCTCGCCTTGATCTCGCACCGCTCTCCTCCAACATCATTGCTAATTTAACCCAAATTCAACCCAGTATAATCCCTTATTATCATGGTGCCATACCCAGCAGTCATCACACGGCCCTTGGCAAAGAGGGATATTGAGAATGGCTTCTTGATCAACCGGTAAAAACAAGCCAGTAATGAACTGCCGGTTCCATTTGCGATTAACAATATGATTAATTTCAAAAATTCTCTTGAAGCATGACCCTTTAATATTTTGCCTCCTGAATTTTAAAAAATAACATATGTTCCTCCCGAATTTTGTTCCGTTAATAAGTTTTCTCATTCTGTTACAATAAGTGACGGAATTCGCCATGTGTCAGGCACATGACGTATCTGAAAAGAGTATTATCGTAAATTAACCTGTAATAATCCTTCCAAGCATTAAATAAATAAAAAAACTCAGCTCTTAAACAACATAAAGATCTGGAAACCCAGAAGACACAAGAAATTCAACAACAGCCAATTTGTCAAATGGTTTGTGTACAAAGTTTACCACCAGAAATCCAACAACAAAACACCACAAAACAAGCACTTTCTTTAGGTTTTATTTATGGAATAAGACGTTTCGTTGGCTTTAAATAAGTTGAACATAAAGAAGAAAAGAAAATAAAAATGTTTGTTTAAGAAGTTTATGAATGAAGAAAGGAAAGAAGTGAAGAGGGGGATTAAGAAGTAATCTCAGAGGGAGAATCTTCAATTTTAGGAGATTGAAGAACTGGAAATAGAGGAGTCTGAACAGTTGCTTTGATCTTCATGGGTCGAATGTTGGAATTCTTTGAATTTGAGTTTGAGTCGTCGGAGAAAGAGTCGGTGGGTCTTCTGTCTTGCCATCCATGACCAATAAGCACATGGTTGAATCGGCCACATCGATGAACAAAATGAGGAAAAAAAAAAAAGGAAAATGGGGAACAAAATAAGGAACGAAGATGGTGAATTTTTTCAATAAATTATAAAATTATCTTATTAAGAGGGTATAAGCGTAATTGCGCTTTTAATTCTCACTAAATAAGTGACACGTGGCAATTCTGTCACTTATTGTAACAGAAGACAAAGCTTGTTAACGGAACAAAATTCGAGGAGAACGGATGTTGTTTTTTAAAATTTGAGAGGCAAAGTGTTATAAAGATCATAATTCGAAGAGAAGTTTTAAAATTAATCCTTAACAATAAGGTCCTCCACTCTCCAATCTGCCATTTCCGATAAACCCATAGTGATTAGTCAAAAAATACTCGGTCGAGGGATCCAATGATCTTGAAAAATTCTTCTCTCCTCGAACCAACCCGCTTCCTTAGCCCCGCTTTTAGTAACTCACGGCCCCATAGCAAACTCTTTGTAAAAGTTACCATTTTTAAAAAAGGAAGAAAGAGATAAATAGGTCAAGACTTGAGATGAATTAAAATTAATAGGCTAATAATTTACATAAGTTAATAAATATGTCAAATTACTGTTTTCATCCATAACTTGTCTGGTTATGAACCATAACTTGACAAGTTATTCACGATTTTTATCCGTAACTTGTCTGACTATGAACCATAACTTGACAAATTTATTCATAACTTATCTGGTTATGAACCATAACTTGACAAGTTATGGTCTATTAATTTCTATAACTAAAAATTAACTTATATACTTTCTTAAACTTTTCATATTTGACATATTTTTTATTATTTTCCTTTAAAAAATTATTAATTAATCACTTGTCATTTTAAAAACGATATCTTACTAAGGAATTTTTAATCAGTGATTAAACCTTGGACTTCTATTTTTTTTTTTTAAGAATTTTTAATTTTAATTTAACAAAACTAAAAAAACGCTTTTAAAAAAGGAGATATCTTGCACACATTTAAAAAATAAAAATAAAAAACTTTTTTTTGCTAATTATTAAAGTAAAAAACAACTACCACGCGCCCACTTGGTCGTATGCCTTTAATACTTTGCCTCCTGAATTTTAAAAAATAACATATGTTCCTCTCGAACTTTGTTCTGTTAATAAGTTTTCTCATTCTGTTACAATAAGTGACGGAATTCGCCACGTGTCAGGCACATGACGCATCTGAAAATGATATTATCGTAAATTAACCTGCAATAATCCTTCCAAGCATTAAATAAATAAAAAAAACTCAGATCTTAAACAACATAAAGATCTGGAAACCCAGAAGACACAAGAAATCCAACAACAGCCAATTTGTCAAATGGTTTGCGTACAAAGTTTACCACCAGAAATCCAACAACAAAACACCACAAAACAAGCACTTCCTTTAGGTTTTATTTATGAAATAAGACGTTTCGTTGGCTTTAAATAAGTTGAACATAAAGAAGAAAAGAAAATAAAAATGTTTGTTTAAGAAGTTTATGAATGAATAAGTTGAACATAAAGAAGAAAAGAAAATAAAAATGTTTGTTTAAGAAGTTTATGAATGAAGAAAGGAAAGAAGTGAAGAGGGGGATTAAGAAGAAATCTCAGAGGGAGAATCTTCAATTTTAGGAGATTGAAGAAGTGGAAATAGAGGAGTCTGAACAGTTGCTTTGATCTTCATGGGTCGAATGTTGGAATTCTTTGAATTCTTTGAATTTGAGTTTGAGTCGTCGGAGAAAGAGTCAGTGGGTCTTTTGTCTTGCCATCCATGACCAATAAGCACATGGTTGAATCGGCCAAATCGATGAACAAAATGAGGAAAAAAAAAAGAAGGAAAATGGGGAACAAAATAAGGAATGAACATGGTGAATTTTTTCAATAAATTATAAAATTATCTTATTAAGAGGGTATAAGCGTAATTGCGCTTTTAATTCTCACTAAATAAGTGACACGTGGCAATTCTGTCACTTATTGTAACAGAAGACAAAGCTTGTTAACGGAACAAAATTCGAGGAGAACGGATGTTGTTTTTTAAAATTTGAGAGGCAAAGTGTTATAAAGATCATAATTCGAAGAGAAGTTTTAAAATTAATCCTTAACAATAAGGTCCTCCACTCTCCAATCTGCCATTTCCGATAAACCCATAGTGATTAGTCAAAAAATACTCGGTCGAGGGATCCAATGATCTTGAAAAATTCTTCTCTCCTCAAACCAACCCGCCTCCTTAGCCCCGCTTTTAGTAACTCACGACCCCATAGCAAACTCTTTGTAAAAGTTACCATTTTTAAAAAAGGGAGAGAGATAAATAGGTCAAGACTTGAGATGAATTAAAATTAATAGGCCAATAGTAACTTATCTGGTTATGAACCATAACTTGACAAGTTATAGTCTATTAATTTCTATAATTAAAAATTAACTTATATACTTTCTTAAACTTTTCATATTTGACATATTTTTTACTATTTTCTTTTAAAAAATTATTAATTAATCACTCGTCATTTTAAAAACGATATCTTACTAAGGAATTTTCAATCAGTGATTAAACCTTGGACTTCTATTTTTTTTTTTTAAGAATTTTTAATTTTAATTTAACAAAACTAAAAAAACGCTTTTAAAAAAGGAGATATCTTGCACACATTTAAAAAATAAAAATAAAAAACTTTTTTTTGCTAATTATTAAAGTAAAAAACAACTACCACGCGCCCACTTGGTCGTATGTCATATTCTGGAAAAGAGGGAGTTTTCAACCTCTTTTTTTTTTTTTTTAAGGAAAAAATCAACCCGATTTTACCATTAGATGACGACTACAAAATGAAAACATACACGTCACCAACACAGACTGGTTCCCAAAAACTCAGGATGTACATATCAAATACACATCCAAAAGCACATATATATTAAGAAGCAGAAGATCAGAGAGTTTGCGAAACTTCATATTGTCTTTAGCAATACAAAATAAAAACCTAAAAATAAAAATCCATATTCCAGAAACCAGATAGATAAGAAAGAGAGGAGTATCTAAACATATTATTGAGTTACTTCCAAGGACAGACACCCCCACAAGACAAGACAGGATTCAAACTCCTCAGCTGTATCCCACTTGCTGCTGCTGCTGTTGTGGCTGCTGCTGGTAGTTCCCGTACCCAGGATAGCCTCCATAGTACATGCTCGGATCTTGGGAAACAGGAGGATAGCTATAGCCCTCATGACCCGGTGCATATCCATAGTAACCGCCGCCCTGCATCTTGCTGAGGCTGCTGCACCATAATACATAAAATGCATATCAGTCAAGTTCCAAGGAAAACAAAGAGCCTATGATTGATTAATCAGTCTAATTCAAGGCATTCCATGTTATAAGCCGCGTTTTGCCATATCAAGATATAAAAACTCAACCTGTTTGTTAGGACTACGGCCCCAAGAGAGTCGAATGTTTTGTCCTCCCAACTGGCTCCCATTCAGCATCCGGAGAGCTTCTTCAGCGCAGCTCCTGATCACCATATCACACAACCAAGTGAAGTGTTACACATACTTTTAGGATAGATATAGCTGATGATACAACCGCCAAATGAATGTACCTGTCAGTAAATTGGACAAACCCACAGCGCTTGCCTGTTGGTATCTTCACGTGGACCAGCTCACCATATTGGTGGAAGACTTGTCTCAGGTGGTCATCCGTTACATTGGAATCCAAATTACCAACGAATATCTGCAAGAAAAGTTATCTACAAGTCAGGAGAAAGGTTGTGACAGGTTTAACTTTCCAAGCATGGAAATATACAAAGTACTCACAGTTGTATTATTCGGGTCATTCTCGTTCTGAGCCCCTTGAGAACTCTGATATGAAGCTGACATATTCAAAATAAAGTTTGAAAAACGGTTAGCTATTGTAGTGTAACATAACATAGAGAACCAGTAATAACTGATGCTGTTACATCAAATAGAGAACCTGTATTCACTCAGCCCAAAAAAAGAACAAAAGAAAAGAAAACCCTGTAATCACTGATGCTGTTACTTCAAACTTTTTTTTAGATTAAAAAAAAAAGGGGCGGGGAGATTATCCAAATGAGCCCACCTCAAATATTAGTAAGTCCCTATCCATAAGTACAAATTTATAAAACTCAAGAACCACACCTAAGAGTGTTTACACGCGACAGATATCTACAAGGACCACTAAACATCTTAAGGAAGTAAATATGTATGGCTAAAAAAATGGTACTGCATAAGAGCTTGTAACAAAGAGTATGCAGGACAAGGCAATTACCATTCTGCCATTACCCTTAAAACACATTTGGAAAGTCTTAACAGTGGCGGCCTAAAACATGGAAAATATATATGCCCTACACAATGTACTGCTACGTAAACATAGTTCTTGCCATTAGGATAAAAACATTAATGAGTTGATTACAAGCTTTTGCAGTATGAACATTTGTGTTGCTACACGAGACTATCCTATCACAACACCATATAAGCAGAAGTAATGTTGGAAGGATATTCAGAAGGAAAAAATGCAAGTACAAGAAAAAAAGACAGAACGTAGTGCATACATCCTGAGACCAGAACTGAAGATTTAAACATATTGACTTACTTCAGCACTTCCAACACAAAGGAATATATCCTCGACAGAACAGTGGGCGCAGTAAATAAATAAATAATATGGACTCATCAAGGAGACACAACAGTAAGACTAGACCCTAATCATAATAGTAAAAGAACTGAAGTAGAAGGCCACAAGCACAACAATTAGCCTGAAACATGAAGTATCTGGCACTTGCAATGACTTGTTACCTGTGCTCCTTAAATCTCCTCTCATGGACTGGAAGCTAAATAGATCATCAGAATTGCACATCATAGAAGAGCTGGGGGAAATAGAAAATTTCAAAAGAAACGTAGGAGCGCTGAAAAAAACTAAACCCTTCTTTACCACGAAATAACTTTAAAGAAAAATGAAAAAAAAAAAAAAAAAAAAAAAAAAAAAAAAAAATAACTAAATCTCATGGACTTCAAACTTTAAGCAGCATGAACAGTCACGAATTGTAACTTTATGGAAATGGAAAGCTGAACCAATAGAACGAGCTGGAAAAAAAATAAGCAATGTAGCATAACAAATGCCACGTGAATAACGGGCAACTCATACATAAATGGTAACTGACCTAAGTGAGGCCACGCCCTAAGGGAATACCATTTCAGCTGAAATCAGTAGCAGGCCCCTAGATGACAGAGCCTCTTGACCCCCCTGCTTTGAGACAACATGAGTTCTAATAAGTTTATAAGATTTTAATAGCATTTACCCTACCCAAATTTTTTAACGAAATTATAGGAAGTAAAAGACAATGGAAATTTGCTGCTTATCTTCAAGAGCATAACCGAAAGAAACTTCAAATAGTGTTCAGCATACTGCTGCGTATCCAAAAAATAATGGAAATACAACCTTACCATGTTAGAGGTGGCAGAATAAAAGAGACGATAAAAAAGGGAAAAAAACAAAGAGAAAAAAAGGAACAATCTTAGAGTAACAGCATCATTGAACTAAACGATTTTTTTTCTCGTATAGTGAAACTGCAAGACACAAAAAGATGGCATGAAACATCAAAAGAACAGATGAAAAAAATCAAACCTTTGGAGTATTGCTGAGAACCAACTGCATTCTTGTTTGCAGCAGGGCCAATCCGCATAGGTCTGGTAGAACAGAGAACGCCATTCATCTCATTCATAGCACGGATCTGCTCACTTTCATCTCCAAATCTAACGAAACCATAGCCCTTCGTACGGCCAGTGAGCCTGTCAATAACAACTTTTGCACCCTTAATCGATGGGTACCGGCCCCTGAACGTCTCCAGAAGCGTGTAATCTGTAACATCAGCAGCTAAATCTCCAACAAATATTGTGTAATCAGGCGTATCGTCAGAACGCTTCTCTCCTGCAGATGCCCAGTTTAGTCTGAAATTCTGAGCACCATTTGGCATAGGGGATCCGTTGAATGTTTGGAGGGCTCTCTCTGCAGCAGGGCGGCTAACAAACTCAATAAAGCCATAACCTTCTGACTGACCAGTTTGTTTATTACGGATGACTTTCACCGAAACAACCTACAATTATAACACACATCTTAAGTAATTAACAAACAAATCCACAAAAGTGTATGGTATACAACATGTTTTGATACGATCCAGGATCGAACCCACAACCTCCCCCGAACCCACCCCACCCAAACCCGCCTTGCCACTAGACCAAGCGGATTAGGCTATAGTATACAACATGTTAATATCCCACTCTGTAGAGGGAGGAAAAAAAGCTAGTCCAAGCATAAAACTAACGTCGAAATATAAACTTTAAACAACCAATCTCCTACACCCATTTACGTATTCATCTATCATCCTACGATTCAGGAAAAATTTCGACTAAATCAGTACCAAAGATTGGAACGAGCACAATCAAGATCCAAATTTTAATAACAAAGAAAAACAGAGTTAAAAGTACATAATTTTTTTAGGCGCTCCGAAAATCCCTAACGTAAAAAACACAGATCTGAGAACAAATAATAAAGGAAGCAAAAAACAAAAACCAAAAAAGCAAAGAGTTAGGTATTATATAGAGAGACCTCGCCGGTGTGAACGAAGCAGCTGTAAAGATAGTTCTCCTCCATCCAGTACTGCAAGTCTCCGATCCAAAGCGTCCGGACCTCGTCGGCGCTGGTGAGCTGGGCCTGCGGCGGAGCCTGCTGTTGTGGAGGCGTAGCCACCTGGCCCTGAGCGGCCCAAACCGGTGGCGCCTGGCCGGCCTGCGGCGGCATCATCATGTAGGGCTGCTGGGCATGCTGAGGATACTGCTGGCCCATTGCCTGGGGTCCCACGCCTGCTCCTGGTTGCATCATAGTGATGATGATGAATATCCGGGGTTTAGAGAGAGAGAAAGAAGATGGATAAGAGAGGGACCGGGGGAGAGAGAGAGAGAGAGAGAAACCCGAACCCTAACCCTAAAAAGGAAAGGTCCCCAAAGAGAGAGAGGGATAAACAGGGAAACGACTGTGTTATTATATGACTGAGAATGATTGTGAGGAGATGGGGCTAGAGATTCCCCCCCCCCAGAGAGAGAGAGAGAGAGAAACCCGAACCCTAACCCTAAAAAGGAAAGGTCCCCAAAGAGAGAGAGGGATAAACAGGGAAACGACTGTGTTATTATATGACTGAGAATGATTGTGAGGAGATGGGGCTAGAGATTCCCCCCCCCCCCCCCCCAAAAAAAAAAAAAAAAAAAAAAAAAAACTTTTTTCCTCAGAAAAGATCATCCGAACACACCCAATAACTGCAGTTTTCAAGATCTCTTTCGCCAGACTGTTCATTGCTCAAAACAAAGCAAATACCCTTTTAATTCCCAACCCCAAACCAAAGCTAGATAGTGAAGTCCACAAGCGATTCTTTTATTCTCTTCCCAATTAATTTCCCCATCTCTCTTAATTTTCCCCTCCATACATCCAATCCAACCCCCTCTGACATATAGATATATATGGAAACAATGCAACTGCAAAATCTAGCAACAATCTAGCTAGTCCTTCAATCAAATTCCCGCTTTTAGCACCAAAATGAGAGATTCACCTCCATCATCATAACCAACTATAGCCAACAAACCCTAAAATCATCAAAAACCAAGAGTCAGCTAAGGAGATCCAACCAAAAAAAAAAAAAAAAAGAAAAGAAAAATCACCAATATTGTTGTTGTTATCATATGGACATAGTCTCAGAACCCACAAATAATCGTCCCTCCATGATATCCACCACAATGAACAACCACAACCACAACCACAACCACAACGACATGATCTCCTCATCATCTATACTACTCTCTCCCACTACCAGTGGCCCCAGTACCGTCAGCGCAGCAGCAGCCGCCACAGCGGCTGGCGGGACCGTCGGATATTTTGTCATAAAAATCCAACGCCGTAAATAATAAGTTTAAGAGTTGGGCCAATGGGCCGTGGCTTTTAATTACCCTCCAACATAATGGCCCATTCCTTTCATGGGCCCATGGTCCATATTTGGTGCTTGCTTGCGTTCGTCGAAGCGATTCCACTCTCTTTCTGACTTGCCAGTAGAGCAGACAGAGAGAGCGAGAGTTAAACTGTCGACGACTTGCTTGGGATCCGACTCGCTCTTCCTCAACTCAGCGCTGAGTCGCGTCCGAGTCTCTGTAATTTGGAGCTCGAAATAGAAATTTTTGATCTTTCTCAGTTCGGCGATGGAAACTGGTATGCAGCGTTAATCTTTGTCCCTGAAGTTTTATCAAATTCGCCAAGTTCGATTTCGTGTGTTTCAGATTTTATGCAGTTTAATTGCTATTCTTAGCATGTTTTTTGTCTGAAAATTGTTTGTCCTTTTGGATGGTGGATGGACATAGGAAGCTACTGTAAAATGGAAATCTTTTTCCATTTTTGACTAAATTAATTGGCTTTGAGTCTTATAGAATTAGCTGAGGATAGTGATCTTTCTATTGGGATTTTGTTCAAGTCAAAGAATTGGTTAGATCAGGTACAACAGCCAAAATGGATTTGCATTTGAAGAGCCTGTTTGGTAGATTTCAGGAGCAATTTGGTTCTGGTCCGGGGCTTGGCCCGGGATCCGGAACATGTCTCATGAAAGTAGAAGGTGTTGCTCCTAATTTTATTAAGTCTGTGTTTAAAGCTGCTGCTGCTCTGTATAGGACTGATCCGTGGAAAAGATTGCGCCCAGGGCATCTTTTCGGCATTCGGGTTGGGAAGGATTCAGATTGGTCTGGCAAGAAACAGCCTTTCCCATGTGTGCAATTCGTTGGAGGGGATGGTGGGGATGTTGGCTTTAACATGTTTAGGTCCGAAAATGATGCTAAGAAGATGACGGGCTCGACCGAGACTGTACAAGTTCCTAACATAGAGCTTTTGAGGGTCACGTATGAACCTGAGTCGTTGATGTTCCCCTCGAATCGCAAAATGATTAAGTCGCTGTCACTGGAAGTGTCGGGGACTAATCGTTTTCCGGTGATCGATGTTGCTCGTTGTGCGTCTTCTGGATCTCTTCAGTTTAGGAATCCAACTCTTGAAGAGCTTAGGTTTGTCTATGCCGCCATGAAAGCCATTGCTTTGGTGCACCCGTTGCTTCAAGTAGATAAAGATGGTGGACCAAAGTGGTCTAGGTTAATGTACTTTGAACCGTTTATTGAGACGGTTGATGTACAATGGCCTCCAGAGATGGCCAAAGGCTATGACCTTGTTGCAGTGACGGTCTCACACCCGCCTGGTCAGGCGTACGAAGAAAAGGCTAGTTCGACAGCTAGCTCCACCCCAACCAAATATGCAGAGCCACCAAGGGAAGATATTTTTGTTGATGTAAAATTGTACTTGAATGGAAGCTTGCGGCAATGTGCAGCATGCGAGAAAGAGGTTCATGGAGAACAGGCTCTTTGTTGTGGGCGATGTCGAGCTGTGCTCTACTGCAGTTCTGTCTGCCAGAAGCAACACTGGAAGGAAACTCACAAAAGCATGTGTGGTCTTTACAAGGCTATGATGGAAAGGGAGGAAGAACTGGCAATGAAAATATTCATGTTTCCTTGTACTGCTGACCAGCCTTGTAAGTGGCTTGAATCATTGGGTATCCATCAAAAGGGCATGTGGAGAAGAAAGTGTAGTTGCTATTCTCACTGCCCTTTTGGTCTCCTTCCTGTTAAAGGTGGACTATGGGATTCTTGGGGTGGGCTTGATGATGAAGAGTATCCTCGCGACTCGCCTTTTCATCATCATTTGAGGGATGGTATGTCGAGCCCAATCCTTCTCTCTGGTTGGTCAGAATACTATAATCTCCGGTCGCTGCCATTGTCAAGCCCAGTTGCTGATATTCTCTCCCATCCGCTGACAGTTTATTACATATTGACGGCTCTCAGCATCAGTTCAAAGAACCTCTTACTCAAAGGGAAGGAGGTCATTCTTCACTATTTAGGGCCAGAAGGGGAGTTGGACTGGATGCCAGCATTTGCAGAAGTTGGTCATTTGCTCAATCGATTGGGTAACATACAAATAATAATGGTGGGGCCAGAAGTTCCAACGAATTTGTCGGGGACAACTTCAGGAATTGGTAGCAGAGTGAGGGTGAATCTTGTGAGAGGTGTCTATCAGGAGGAAGCTACCTACTTGCCTTCTCCGCATGTGATTGTTGCTCTAAATTGCGGATTGGATAGCTATGCAAGCTGGGGTGGAGCTCTTAATTTGATCAAATCCATGGCTATTCCAGCCTTTTTCACAGATCAATCTGAGATATCATGCGCAAATGCTAAACAGGTTCTTAGAAGTACTGGACTGCATATCACACATCCTGTAACACCGAACCCTTTTCGCTCGCCGGTGAAGAATCATGAAGCTTCTAGCAATCTTCCTGCATATAGCAATGGTTTTGTGCTCGGAGTAAATACATGAATTTAAACCATGAAGACCAAATTTGGATTTATTTCTTGCAGTTGTATTTTTTATGATTACAAATTCAAGCTTTAAGCAAATCCAACTGTTTGATTGAGAGACTGAGAGAGAGACTAATGAGGTGGGAATATTAAATTCGTTTTTCCCATTGCATTTCCGAACTCTCTGTTGTCGGTAAGCATTATTTATTTGTTTATTTGAATTTGAACTCTCTCCATATTGTAGAACAGTTTCAAACTGCTGAATTTTGTTGTCTTTCATTTTTCTACTATCAAAACTGTATCTGTATTTACTTTGAAATGGCCGTCGGAACTATTTGTTTTCTAATCCTAGTATCCTGTAATGTTTATAATAGTCTTAGAAGGTTATAACTGATTCCTTGTTTAGAGTTTCATCCAGTTTTTGATTGATTAATCTTAGTACCCATGTCCCATTCGCCATTTTGTGAGAGATAAAGGAAAATTTTCCAGTTGTTGAAAGAGATCAAATAAATATTGACCAAGTGGAAAAAAGATGAAAATTAAATTTCCAGTGGCAGAACACCACCTAAACCGAGAAAATCTGAGAAACTTTTCCCTAACATAAAGCATTAGGAATTTAGGACTCTGCTTCTGATGTTTAAAACATATTTAGGACTCATTTGGTTTATGGGTTCAATTTTAGTGATTTTGATTCTAAATTCAAATTCTATGACAGAATTTATTGATGGAAACTTTTTTATTCAATTTTTTTGTGAGAACATAATCATAATCACGGGTTCAAATCATGTCAATAATATTAACCTGATTTGCTTGTTTTCCACTTCATACTTTATCCGAAGCAATTTTAATATTACATTTTCTACTTCATTATTTGCTTGTTTTCTGCTACATCATATATGAAGAAGATTTTTTAATGCCTCCTCTTACCCCCAAAAAAAAAAAAAAAAAAAAGATTTTTTTTTTTTAAGATTTGCTTGTTTTCTGCTACATCATATATGAAGAAGATTTTTTAATGCCTCCTCTTACCCCCAAAAAAAAAAAAAAAAAAAGATTTTATTATTTTAATGTCTCCAGCACTCTGATATTTCACACAGTGGATCCCATTTCCCAAACCAGCATCTTCAAAGTTTATTATTGGCCAATTTGGTGGTTAACATACAAACAGAACCAATATGGTCCTGTTTGTTACCGTTTTTAATCTCATTTTTTACGTTTTTCAAAGTAAAAAATTGAAAACGCGTTTGGCGAAAGTTTTTTAAAAAAACAAAAATAAAACCGTTTTTTTCGTTTTGTGAAATTCTGAAAACGCAAAAAAAGCTATTTTCATTTTCTCGTTTTCGTTTTCGTTTTGCTTTTCTTTCTTCAGCTTCCCGTTCTCTCTTCTTTCTTCAGATTTTTTCTGCCCTTCTTCAGCCCTTCTTCCCGGCCGAGCTCCTCCGTTCTTCTCGCCCGATTCGTTTTCTCTGGTTTCCTTCTCGTCTGACTTGCGCCTTTTGCTTCTCACCCGAGCTCCTCCGTTTTGTTCTCGCCTGAGCTCCTCCGGTGTCTTCTTGCCCGATCTGCCCCGTTCTCGTCTCGCCCTTTTCTCACCGAGGTATGCCCCTAGACAAAAACGTTTGATGGTTTTCCGCTTGATTTGGTTGAGCATTTTTTCTGATTTGTTTTTTTTATGGCTTTTTTTATATGTTTTTGATTTGATATACTCAACCAAATCGGTTGATATGTTTTCCGTTTGATTTGGTTGAGTATTTTTTCTAATTTTTTGATATGTTTTTTATCTGATTTGGTGATTTTTTTCCCGTGTTTTTTTTCCCCTGGGAGCCTCCCATTGGGGCTGATTCAACCCCTGGGGGCCTCACATTGGGGCTGTATCAGCCCCTGGGAGGCTGATATTGGGGTTGATTTAGCCCCTGGGAGGCCCCCATTGGGGTTGATTCAGCCCCTGCGTGTGTGTGTGTGTGTGTCTATATACTTTAAAATTGTGATTTATTTTAATGATGAAAGTGTTATTGTATATGTGTGATAAGGACGATAATACGAAATAACTGGCTGCAATTGAGAATTTCTATGTATAACTGATATATGAGGAGTCAAAGAATGGGCTGCAAACATCCACTTTGTAATTTTCATATTTAATTAATTATTAGTGTTTTTATTTGGGATTCAATTATTATTTATTTAATATATTAAATACTATTACATGTTTTCAAAAATGAAACCACCAAACGCAGTTTCAGTTTTTTTTAAAACTGAAATCAATCTCTGAATAAAACTACCAAACGTATTTTCAAAAATAATTTAAAAATGAAAATAAAAACGTTTTCATTTCTATTTTCGTACAAAAAATAAAAACGTTTTGAAACCAATTTCAAACGCACCGTGTGTGTATATATATATATATTTTGGCCTTTTCCTTTTTTGACGCTAGAATAAATAATTGTTAGAGCCCATGTGCTTCATCAAGTACCTAGACAAAGGGATAAGCTTTTTTTTTTTTTTTTTTTTTTTTTTTTTTTTTTTTTTTTTCCTCCCCGAAGAAAAGGGCAAAAGTTTGAATACCGCAACTTGTTCTATAAAGACCACCCAACTGCCTCCTTTTCCTTCTAATCAGTAATCTCTATAACTACTAGGCTACCCCCAAAAGACATTGTCACCTCCCTTATCATACAAACCATAACCCTGCTTGGAAGCACTCCCTACCACAAGGCACAAGCAATGGAGCTTCCAATGATCCACCCTGCTTCCTACCAATATCTTATCCCTTCTCATCTTCTCTTCCCATACAACCTTGTCCCAGAAAACTACGTTCACTGGTCAGAAACCCCGGAGTCTCACATTTTCTCAGCTGACCTCCCTGGTAAAAAAACCTTCTTCAAAACAATCCTTTTTTCTCTTCATGACTTTCTTATTATGTTTTCATTTGGGCATTAAAAAGTTTTCTTCTTCGGTTGTTTTTTGGGCAGGTGTGAGAAAAGAGGAGATAAAAGTGGAAGTTGAGGACTCAAGGTACCTCATAATCCGGACCGAGGCCATCGATGAATTCTCGGAGCCTGCCAGGACCTTCATGAGGAAATTCAGGCTTCCGGGTAGGGTCGATATTGATGGTATTTCAGCTAAATATGAAGATGGAGTGTTGACAGTTGCAGTTCCAAGGTCTTTTACCAGAAGGGGTTTCTATATTGACCCTGCAGATGTGCCTCAACAGCTTGAAACTCTGGCCAGAGCTGCTTGATCTCTGTTCTCTATCACGCTTAGTAGCTTAGTGAGGTGGTGATATATGTGGTGGGGTTGTGGGAAAGATAGGTATTATTTCCTTAAAAGATCATTGGTGAAATTCCTGATTTGGCTTTACTTGTTGCGAAAAGGATGTTCCTTGGTTTCTATTTTAGTTTCTAATAATTTTAGTTTCTAATAACATGAGCAAATTATTAAAAAAGAAAAACATAAATAAACATAAGTGAAACAAATTATACGGGGGTGTTCATGGATCAAATTACACAGGTTAGAGGTCAATTCTAACTCGATTGAAAAAAAAAATGAAACAAAAAACTTTTTTCGTGGAGAGCATGTCTTTGCAATTGCCAAGAGGATTATCTAATCTTCCGTACTTAAACTCGTGTGTTCAGCAAAATTGGAGAAAAATCCTAAAGCAGTTTTATTTATTTTCTAAACCACGTTGGGAATATGATCTTGATCGGAACTTCTTGTTTGGTATGCTTTCTAATATCGGTCATTTTAAATTTAAATCAGTTTACTAATGTAAATTTTTAATTTAAATTAAAATGTGACTTTATGTTAAAAATTTTTACTATAATAAAAATTTTAAATATAATTATTTTTAAAAAAAAATTTACTATAAATTTTATTATAATAAAATTTAAATTTTAAATTTAAATCGGTAAAATAAATAAATTTTAAATTTTATTTTATAAAAAATTATTATAATAAAATTTAAATCGGTCAAATAAAAAGTCTTAAATTTCATTTTATGTGAAACTGCCGTGCAAACACCTGTGAGTGGGGCGGCAGATAGTTTTGGGGGCAGAATCTGAATTCTCATTTTCTTCAAGAAGATAATTTTGTGGGCGGCAGGGCAGCATGGGACCACAATATCAAAGCTCTTTAATGCCTCGATTCTCTACCTAAACAATAATCAAAAACTCTGTGACTTGCAAAATAAACTTGATTTAAAACTTGTAAATTGAGAAAGCTTCTTTAACCCCTATTTTTATAATGCGCTAAAAAAAAATTTAAAAAAGAAACACTTTTGAACTTGCATTTAAAAGAAAAGAAATTATTTAGCTTACCAATAAGTCAAGTTTTATAACCGTTAAATTTGTATATTTTTTAATGTTTATATGTTTTTATTTAAATTTAATAGATAAAAAATTTGACTTATTGATATTTTAGCCTAGTGAAGGTCCTTAAAAAAAACAAAAAAGAAGCCAGTTGAATTGGAGATGGTACGTCATAGACTCAGCTAGTCTCATAGAAGTGTTTCTAATTAGTTTTCAAGTTGTTCTCTGAAAAGTTTTCAAAGAACAAAGACAAATATAAGCATCTTCTCTTATGTCAAATCCAAAAGTCCTGTTTATCCTTCTGTAACCATTTTCAGAAGACTAACAGCCTCTCTTAATCTTCTATCTGTGTTTTCTCTGGCCATCTGACCTCGGACACCCCTGCATTAAGGCGTGAGTAATCAGACTGAACTGTGACATATATATATATATATATATATATCAAGTGCCTGATAGAGACGTTGCCTATATATATAATATATATATATATATATTGACATATTTTGAAACTAAAATATCGTAGATCGAACCTCTTCTCGTTATGTGCCTTCCTTGAGAGTTCCTCAACAAGATTGTGTAGCCTTCTCAGAACGGCAGGTGACTTGCGTACAGCTTCAATACCTTTACGACTTGAGCATATCTTCTTCAATACTTCAGAAGCAATAAAATATATTTCTTCCTTGTTCCTGAAAAGGCAATAAAATGTTGGTACTTCATAGTTCATTCGAAGATGAAAGAAAATTACTACTTCAGTGATCGGTCTAAACTGATACACGGACCTTAGCAGCTCCCATAAAATAATTTCTATAGAACCATGGCAGTCAATTAGCACTTCAACCAGATGCGGATAGCGGGCAAGGTTTCTAAGAGTAGAGAGCGAATGCTTTACGACCTCCTGATCAGGAATGCTTCGACTGACTGAGCGAATGAGCTTGAGCAACGTGCTGATTGCTCCCGCATCGACAAGTTTTTCACAGCATTTTTTAGAGTACCTTGTAGCCATATCTGCGAAAAAGGACTCGTTAACTCAAAAATGGAGTCTGTGGGTTGCGAAGCTGAGGCAACATCCAGAGATGAAACAACTCGATGACCAATCACTTAATGACCTCAAAAGTATTATAGGTTTTCTCATTTCTCTATTGTAATGTATTGTAAGATATGTTCATAATTTTAATTGAACCAGTAATAAAATATGAACCATGGATCATGTAACAAACAATGCGCATTTATTTTCTCGAGCTTCTTAAGAAGCCCTTGTGTGAGAATGTTTTTGAAATAGGCCGCTCAGGTCAAGAATTTTATGCCTTTAATTCTGGGGAGTCTATTTTTAAACCCGTAAAGTAGTGCTTTATGCAATGCAAGTCCGGACACAAAAAACTTTCATGTAAAGCTCACCCAAAGTTGCGCAAGTATGAAGAATGCCACTAATGCTTTTTTTGCTCAGCAATTCTGAAAGAGCTGCTATAAGTCTGTTTATTATGCGCATTCCATCATCCACATTTGCGGCTGACTGTTGCATTCTCAGGCGTAAGTCCAATAGGTGTCCTCTTGATTCTTTCCGTGCAAGGTAACCCTTCCAGTGCGACTGTAATTCAAAAAAATTCAAAAGGGAAAATGTATTTACTAAATTTATCAAATTGACGTCAATAGGGAATGCAAATATATATGCGTAAATGGATATAAATATGCAAAAACATCCAACTCATTCATGAAATAAAAAATAAAGTGAAAAACGATTTTAGAATATTCCTAATACCAAAACAGTCAGAATTGGTCCTTCAAATAGTCTGCATTCATATTAATTCAACTCAATAAAAGAAAGCAAAATGAAGAGAATATCTTACTTGTATCACTACAATATGATGCCTCTCTCTCGTAGTTTTTCTTATGGCTATCCAGCCACGAAAACGGGACTGAATTATTAAGGCACACCTCATTTTAAGTTTTAGTGACAAAACACCTCTCCACCACCTCTGCAGTTTTCCAACCGAATACAAAACTAATGTCAATTCAGAACTTCGATTACAGCCTCTTGAACTCCTGGAAATATGACCATTAGGAGCAAGTGTACGTTGCGAGGACGTCCCTGCAACAAACCATAAACCAGTATAAGTTTCAAGCCACTACTTATAGAGTATACATATGCATCTATAATGAATTTCACGATGGTGAACATGTAAGCAGAAGTCTCACTATCTACCTAAAAGCTTCTTTCTAGTTAACTGCCCCCTGACAAAGCGTTGAATTTCCAATGCAGCAAGTGTTTGACGATGTAATCCCATTCTGCATTTCAGCCCTCGAACGGCACTTTGGATCTTTATTACAGCCTCCCTTTGGGAAAGGAATTCCCTTCTTACCAACCAACCACGGCAATGTCTCTAAAATTTTTTAAACAATGTACCAATACATAGCTTGTTATGTGTATCCTAAGGATATAAATGCCGTGAAAAAAAGAAACCAACTGCTTACAATAGACGAGGCTCATAAAATTACAATGAAGACTACCAAAAGTTCTATGATTAATGGAAACAAAACATTAAGTACTTCAGGCTACTTACTTGGATAGCATCTATTAGATCCCTTCGTCTACAAGCTTCTCTATGGCAAATCCATTGACGTACAAAAGATTGAATAATAGTTGCAGATTTGGTTAAAGCTTTGTGATGTTGATATGTCTTCAAACATCTTGACATTCGAAAATAACTTTGAATTTTCAATGTTGCATGCTTTTGACTTTGAAATCCCCTTCTCAATATCAAACAACGGAAATGACTTTGGATTTTGGTTGCAGCAAAGTGTTGATTTTTGATAGAATTGCAAATAACAGAACACTTCGCTGTAAGCTGGACTTCAACCTCTTCGATTGTTTGAAGATCATCAACACCTTTCTCCAGGCTTAAATGAAAAGCTTTTTCTATTTGAGCAACCTCACGAATGTGCCTACACCTTACAAACCACCCACGGAGATATTTTTGAATGATAATAGAAGCACTGATTAGATCATCAACACTCTTCTTCGGCTGTAAATTAAAAGTTCTCTCTTTTTGAGCAACCTCGCATAAGAACCGAGACCTTGTTAACCACCTACGAAGGTACTTCTGAATGACAATAGAAGCATTGATTAAATCATCAAGATCCTCTTTCGGCTGTAAAACAAAAACTTTCTGTACTTGAGCAACCTCACAGATGTACCCAGACCTTGCTAGCCACCCACGAAGGTATTTCTGAATGACAATGGAAGCATTGACTAGATCAGGAGCAGAAATCTCAGAAGTTTCTATGCTGCGATCATCTAGTCTACGACGAGTGATCCAATTCCTTGCTGCTCGCTGGATAAGCAATACCGACTTCTTTAATTTGACAAAACAATGCCTCTCAATTATGAACATGACATATCTCCTCCATGTTTCGGACTGTTTCCACCTTTCTTCATTATTAGCCAAATAGATCATGTTAGTAAGAACTTCTAGTTAATCCGCACAAGGATAAGGGATATCAGCGAACCAATGAAAAGGAGAAAGTACCAAATGAAGACTTCTGATCTTGCATAGCAGTAAAATTTATGCACGATGGTTTCTTCTTCACAGTTAACCATGCACGGAAAACAGTTTGTAAAAGAGAAGCAGCATGTAACATCTTCAAATAGTCGCGGCGTTTAAGAGCCCGCTTGAAATGAGACTGTATAACTTTGGCAGCATTTTCTGTTAACGTTAGACATGGATTGCACGGTTACAGAATGAATTGTATACAACTTCTAGGAAACGAACATTAAGTAATATAGGAATAAAAAAGCCAGGGTTGCAAATAAGAAAGAATTTATAAAAGATACTACAAAGCCATTGTAGTTACCTCTTTGATTCTTAATGTTGTTTTTAGTTGTTGTAAGGTGGTACAAAATTGGAGAAGCTTCTGGTTTTGCAATACGTTGATAGCTTCTCTCGGTCATAGCTCGCCACCAAGCCTGAATGGCTTTAAATTTTCTTGCGGCATCTATTTTAGACAAAAAGGAGGAAGAAGAAGAAGGAGGAGGAGGAGGAGGGGGACGAGGAGGTGGAGGATGAGGAGGAAACATTAGATTAAAACACAACATAAGCAACTTTTAACTACGTGGATAGAAAGCTTTGCTAACGTAGTGACTTAAACACAGCACTAGTTGCAAGCAAAGGAAAAAAAGTAAAACACCGCAAATTTTCACCCTGCAAAAGTGACGTAAAATAGTTTTAATTAAATAATATATTGACCTCCGGAACACACTAAAAATAAATCTTTCCGCAACAAATATGAAACAATGAAGCGTGTAGAAACCTCACTTTAGTAATACGTGATAATGGCATAAATAAATTGCTGCAAGAGAACGCAGTAAAGAGAATAACCTTCGGTACTGTAGCCATATGTTTTGTCTTTGGTTCGTACTAGATCAGGACTTGAAAAACATGGCTCCGCACTAGAGTATTTTCTCACTGGACTTTGACAGTTACAACCTAAGAGTTTATGGAAATTCAATTGATCCTGCAAGAAAACAATATTAAGATATGCTTAACGTATGAAACTAACAACAATCAAAATATCATCTACCATAGCTGGCACTTAAAGCATTACCAGGTTTTTCTTGACAATCAGTTTTGATGCAAGGAATACCAACAGGATTACCACACTCCTATCATTACAAGCTCCACTATACTCAAGTATGTCACTGATCTGTAGAACCTGCGGAGCAGCAAAAAATAGAATAAAATAAAATCCATGCATCATGTCAGTGTAAAGCATTTGTGAACACACACGGGTAGAAAACAGTGAACGGAAAACACTACTTTATATTTTATTCTCTTATTGTTTAGAATGAAATACAGCCGGCCATAAAAAGGCTCTGAAAACAGAGTAGACAATGAAAGAATAAAGAAGAATAATCCTTTCCTAATACAATAGGCATAAACCTAGCATATTCCTTTGACCTAAGAAATTACTATAAATAGGTCCTAATCAGTCTAGATTCGTCCACACTCCCCCTTAAGTTGGGCTGTATAAGTTGTGCATGCCCAACTTGTCTACTAATTTTTCAAATAAGGGTCTAGACAATCCCTTGGTCAAAATATCGATAGCTTGCTCAGTTGTAGGGACTTATGACATAAGGACTGTTCCTTCTTTCAATCTTCTCCTTGATAAAATGCCGATCCACTTCCACATGTTTAGTCCTGTCATGATGTACAGGATTATGCAAGATATTTATGGCTGCCTTGTTATCACAATAAACACGCAATGGAAGTGTAACTCCAACCTTAAGTTCATCTAACAACATTCTCAGCCATAAAACCTCACAAATTCCATGAGCCACAGATCTCAGTTCTGCTTCGGCATTGCTCCTTGCGACAACGGATTGCTTCTTGCTTCTCCACATTACAAGATTGCCCCAAACAAGAGTACAATACCCTGAAGTAGATCTCCTATCATCAACAGCTCCTGCCCAATCAGCATCCGAGTATATACTTCTACACCTCTTTCATCTCCTTTCTTGAAGAACAAGCCTCGTCCAGGTATTCCTTTCAGATATCTCAGGATGCGAAACACCGCTTTTAAATGTTCTTCAGTGGGTGCATGCAAGTATTGGCTAACTCGACTAACATCAAAAGCTATGTAAGGTCTAGTATGTGACAAATAGATTAGTCTCCCAACTAGACGCTGAAATCTACCTTTGTCTACAGGATCACTGTCTCTCATTCCTTTCTTGCAACTTGGCTCCACCGGAGTTTTTGCAAGTTTGCAACCCATCATTCCTGTTTCTTTTAGAAGATCCAACACATACTTCCTTTGTGAGACTGAGATCCCACATTTATTTCTGGCAATCTCCATTCCAAGAAAGTACCTGAGACTTCCCAAATCTTTGATCTCAAATTCTTTTGCCAGTTTTCTCTTTAGTCTCTCCCATTCTTCGAGATCATCTCCAGTCAATATAATATCATCAACATATACGATGAGAATGGCGGTCTTATCATTCTTGTGCTGATAGAACAACGTGTGGTCTCCTCCGGCCTGCTTGTATCCCTATTCCTTAACCACCTTAGTGAACTGATCAAACCAGGCTCGCGGTGATTGCTTTAGTCCATACAGGGACTTTTTTAGCTTGCAAACTTGATCACCCTTGTCCTCAAATCCCGGTGGCATCTCCATATAGACTTCTTCTTCCAAATCCCCATTAAGGAAAGCATTTTTTACGTCAAGTTGTTGCAACGACCAATCTAAGTTAGCAGTAATGGATAACAGAACTCGAACTGTATTGATCTTGGCAACTGGAGCAAAAGTTCCTTGATAATCTATCCCATATGTCTGAGTATAGCCCTTAGCCACCAAACAAGCTTTGTATCTTTCAATAGACCCATCCGCCTTGTATTTGACGGTGAAGACCCACTTACATCCAACCAGAGCCTTTTCTCTTGGTCTTCTCACCACATCCCAAGTATGGTTCCTTTCGAGAGCTCTCATTTCTTCTAAAACAGCTTGCCTCTATTCGGACTTCTTCATAGCTTCTTAGATATCTCTTGAAATCTCCACACTGGCGAAGTTAGCTACAAAGGCTTTCATAGAGTTTGTCAGATGATCATATCCAATATAATGGGCCATTGGATGTTTTGTACAGGATCTTACTCCTTTCCTCAATGCAACTGGGATCTCTAAGTCATTAATTTCCACTTCAAGACCTATCATTGGTTCCGATTCTTGATGGCGAGGAACTTCCTGCCTTTCTACATTTTTTTGGTTCTTCTTGCGCACATAAGTTCAATCAAAAAATTGCAAGCCACTCTCTTTATGTTATTATGTTCCTGCACTATAGATACCGGATTTTTTGGTTCATCAAGAGATTGATTTAGGATCTGATTTGAACGAATGGATTGAGTAAGAACTGGTGGAGCTGATTCGGGAAAGATTTCAAGATTAATTTCAGGGCTATCTGGTGGGTTTATTTCAGAAATATTGGCTGGATTTTCCTCTTGATCTCCTGGTTTTTGAACATTTTCTGCCGGATTGGAAGGGATATGACTTTGGGTTTCTAAAGAAGGGGCAAAATCCCAAAAGAATTCCCACACATTTGAATCATTTGAGGTTGAGATGGAAGTCAGTTTTGATTTTTCCCAAAAACTTTCTTCCCACACTCTCTCCCCCTGAAGGGAATTTTTGGTAAAAAATGGTTAATCTCTAGACACAAAGTATTTTCTTTTCTCTATTGAATAACATCTATACCCTTTTTGAGTCGCCAAGTATCCCAAAAAAATGCACTTATGAGCCCTAGGATCCAATTTTCCCCGATGTGGATCAAGATTGTGAACAAAGGCAACCAAACACTTTTAGCTCTAACGAAGATGGAAACCGTGACTGTGGATACGACTTGTATAGGCAATCTATTGGGGTTTGAAATTTTAAGACGCGGGAAGGTACCCTATTAATCAGATAGGTAACAGTCAAAACTGCATCCTTCCAAAAAAAATTTGGTAAGTTGCCTGTGAACAACAAGGAACAAGCTACTTCTAAAATGTGACGATTTTTCCTCTCATATACCCCATTTTGTTAAGGTGTGCTAACACATGAACTTTGATGAATTATCCCACTAGTAGCGACAAATTCCCCCAAAGTGTTTTTGAAAAATTCAGTCCCATTTTTTGTTCTTAAGAAGTTAATGTTCCCATCAAATTGTGTTTTAACCATGGAATGGAATTGTTTGAAAATACCCTCGGCCTCAGATTTTTTTTTCTTTTAGAAGATAAACCCAACAAACACGTGTATGATCATCAATAAAGGTAATGAACCATTTTTTATTGGTAATGCTTGAGATGAGGAAAGGTCCCCAAATATCGCTATGAATAAGAACAAATGATTTAGATGCACAATATGATAATGGGGGAAAGGAGACACGAGTATGTTTAGCTAATTGGCAAATCTCACATTGAAACTTATCATTATTTTCAAACAAGGATGGAAACAAGAATTTCATATAAGAGAAACTGGGATGTCCTAATGTATAGTGCAATAACATAATTTTTTGAATTCTTGAAAGAGAGGTGGTTGCAACCATTTGAGCTTGCCCATGGACACTTGAATCATCCTCAAAGTAGTATAGACCATTTCGTTCCTTAGCACTGCCAATCCTCTTCCTCGATGATCGGTCCTGAAAAATACAAGCAGATGGAGAATCCATGGTTCTCCTTTCTCGGCTAGTCCACAAAAAACAGTTAAAGCTTTACCTTTCTGAGTCATAAGGGACATCGAAGAGAATTGCACTATCATTTGTTTCAATTGCTCCATCCGCTCCTTGGTAAAGGCCGTGGTTCCCATGAATGGTTCAGTTTCCTCTGGTTTTTCCATTGATGCCTGAAACCCTTTTCCTTCACGTCCACGAGTTCGATTAGAAATCCAATTGGCCGGTTTCCCATGTAACTTCCAGTAATTCTCCCTGGTGTGATAGGGCTTTTTACAATGATCACACCATTTTTTGTTTGGTTTCACTTCTCCCTGACTTTCTCGTCCACAGACAACTAGGGCAGACTTTTCCACATTTGAGGTGGTGGTTCCTAACATGACTCTCCTCCTTGACTCTTCTCTACGGACTTCAGCAAAGATTTCCTCGATTTGAGGAAGTGGTCTCATCCCTAGTAGGCGACCACGAACTTCATCCAAATCCTTATTCAATCCGGCCAAGAAGTCATACACACGTTCACGTTCCACCAACTTTCTATACAAAACCGAGTCATCAGGGTCTTTCCAAGAGGGAGAAGTGAACAGGTCCAATTCCTACCACAGTCTTGTGGCCTCATGATAATATTTTGTCACATCGCTCTCCCCCTGTCTTAGGGTTCGGATCTTATTCCTCAATTCAAACATCTGTGAGGTATTTTCCAAGTCCGAGTCGGCCATTGTGACTGCATCCCAAATCTTTTTAGCTGTGCAAAGGAGGATGTATGTGTCGGAAATATTATCTTCCATAGAATGGATTAACCAAGCCATCACCATTGAATTTTGCGCCTCCCAATTTGCATAAGAGGGATCCTTCGGATTTGGTGTTGGAATTGAGCCATCTAAGGCCCTGTTCACTTCACCGATTTGAGTTAGAATTTGAGTTTTGCTACAGTAAAAAGTTCTCAGAAACAGTCACATCTAACTTTTTTGTTACAGTAAAAAGCTCTCACATAAAATCACATCTCAACTCGAATTATAAACTCGAATCAGCAAAATGAACGGGCCATAAATATCCGAGCCTTCCCTTTCCTCGAATCACCATTAGGACCGAACGGGACCACTTGAGAAAATCCTTCCCATTCAGTTTCTGTGTTGTGATTTGCAGGGAGGAATGATTGATGTTCTCGGGAATAGCAGTGGGAGCAATTGTGGAGGTTGTTTTAAGGCTGCTCGTGGCAACCTCAGAAACATCACCTCCGCTTGCTCCAGTCAAAGCTGTTCTATACATTGTTTTCTTCAACTGGTGGCACTGATACCATATGACGCACACGGGTAGAAAACAGTGAACGGAAAACACTGCTTTATATCTTATTCTCTTATTGTTTAGAATGAAATACAACCGGCCATAAAAAGGCTCTGAAAACAGTGTAGAAAAGGAAAGAATAAAGAAGAATAATCATTTCCTAATACAATAGGCATAAACCTAGCATATTCCTTTGACCTAAGAAATTATCATAAATAAGTCCTAATTAGTCTAGATTCGTCCACAGCATTAAATTCAGATGAAGCAACAATCATGCATGTTTACTGTTACTTAAGGTTTACTATAAACTACAAACATAAATTACATTTAGCTTAAATTGTACACGTTGTTGGACAATAATTCCTGCATTTAATTGTGCTTTCGAAACCATTCACTTATACTTGACAAAATCACATGTCTAAGCTTGAGATGAAGCTTAAAATTGTTGACATCCAGTGAACAAGTACCTCTGGAAAGTTTCCCAACAATGTCGTCAATCTCTGTGATAATAGAAAATTGTGCACCGCATCTGGGTAATCGGTGACTAAAACAATTGATTCTTCACCGCTTGATCTATGAGAGTCCTGGAAAAATTAACTAAGGTAAGAATAGAGGAAAGGAAACTCTATTTGTCTACACAAAAGTCAGCAAAGATTGGAATAGAATATACACGGACACCTTTGATGAACAAGTACAAGGAAGTTCCTTGCGAAAATAATAGTCAAGCAAGCACCAAATTCCTTTTCCATCGACCAATGACGAAAAGTTGTCGATCTTGCAATCATAATTTTGACAAATTGCCTGTAACCACAATGTTAGTTATCAACTATGTTGTAATAGTTTAAAGTGTGAAAAACTACCAAATGATAGCAATCTCAAGAATTAACGGGAAACATATGTTCCATAACATAGAAGCAATACCTGGATCCAACTTAAAAGCATTTCCAAAGGAGTGGAACTGGAAGTGTTGAAGTGATCCTGTTGGATGTTAAATAACAAAGGAGCTCATGTCTAATTCACTTAAAACCAAGAGTGCAGATAGTATCTAAAGTATAAAGAAATAAAGAGAAAACTGTTCATATTTATAGTTGAAAATACCACGTTAGCTCCACGAATTTTGCAAATTTCCTCAGCTAACATTGTTCTCTTCATCAGAAGAGGTAACTGCAGGGAACAATAGTCAATCATATTAACAAGTAGACAACATAAACTCCTAGGTAACCCTTTATGCAATGGGAAAAGTTTACGGTTACAAAGATGAGAAATGGGAAGACCTGCAGATGAACAAACATATTCCAGAGCAAGGAAAGAGTTAATTCCTTGTCCCCATTAGCAACGTCATCTCCCACAATCATTACACCATCATCATCGTATAAAGCTGCACCAGCCTGACTAAGATACTGCATCACAACACCACAATTTACCAAGCACTTCTTGCGAGTATCTGATGGAACTGCCAATTTCTGCTCCCACAATTAAGCCTTGAGATCAGAAAAACAATATTGAAGATCAAGCTAAACAGAGTTTAAGTCTACTAATTCACTTTTGGAAAAGGAACAACCGCGAGTATAGAGGGGTCATCCAGCAAAAGATGAGTAGCTCGGCAGAGCCTCACTCCATCTTGGAGATCTACAAACAAATCTGATACTTGGAAATCATATTCAGCGAGAGCACTCTGCAAAATTATGTAAATTTTAGTCATGATAATTCAATTGATGACATAATTACCTACATTGTATTTTGAACTGAATCCATGCTTCATCCTCAATTCGTAAACATGCAGATAAAGAGGCTAAATTAAATTATAAAGCACCAATAGGCCCCCGCCCATACATAACATGTATACAAATTTAAAAACACACATAAACACGCTCATTTTCCCCAGTTGCAAATAGCATTAAACTTGGAGAACCGCCTACCTGTTGATACGGTACTTTGTATCCTACTATCATCAGATGTGCTAGAATATTACCTTCTCCAAGCATAATATCTGGTGACAGAAAATCTAATTTGGAACAGAGAGGAGAGCAATGTCAACCTGGAGTAGGATAAAGTGCCATTATACAAAGGAAAATTTAGAAAATTTTCGAATGTAAACGAAAGGGCAATTACCATGAATCACCTGACGACTTGACTTAATACTAGATTGCACCGTGAATAATAAAGGGGAACCTCCATCCTTTCCGTCAATTCCATACTTCTGAGAAAGACTGCTCTGACATTTAGCTCTATCAAGGACAAGAACAAGCAACAAAAATCTCTTCAATACAATATTCCCCAAAGTTTCATAATAACCTGGCCTGTACAAACCCTCAACCATTTTGTTGTAAGCGTAAGCTTTTGCTAAATCACCATGTGAAAAGAACTGCTTTTCAAAAATCATCTTCAAGAATGCAGTTTCTTGATCGGAATCAACATCCCCATTAGATAACAACGAATCACCACCAAAAACAATGTATAATCCGATTCGAAGCCATGTTGGGTTGTAACACATAAGGATTCTGATGGCCTTCTCCTTCAATCCAACATCAGTAACTAAGGGACAGTGTGCCTTCATTTTCAACCTCCCTTGATCAATATTCTGATAATAAAAACAGTGAATTTTTAGTTATGCATATACTAAGCTTAAAAACCCCATTTTTAGAGCGAAAGATAGTCCTTCTATGAGCACTACAGATATATGACCTCGATGAACTTCACTGACCTAGCACGGTAACTACACTCCACTAAGACTGACAAGAAATTCAATTTCTCCTCCTGAACTTTCTAAAAATCAAAGAAAAGAGAATCCTATAGTTCATAGAACTGAAAGCCAAACCTTAGCCACTTGAGTCATAACATCAAAAACCTCCTTGCATCCGCCCAAGTTCAAGTACACCCGCATTCGCTTCTTCAGATCTTCAAAACTGCAAACATCTTTCAGCGAATTCTGCAAACTCAAATACGCCGAATTCGAAAACCCCGCTATATTTTCCGCATCCTCAGCCCGCCACGCTGAATCTCTTTGACGCTTCGGATTCCTCCACGCCGCGTCAACCCGGACCCCGATTCCCGGAAAACTATCCCTCTTCCCTTTGGTCGCAACTTCACTTCGATCCACATTGCCGCCACAGGTGGACAAATCGCACCCGCATGAACCAGGATTCTCGAAAAGGAAATTGAGCCAAACGGTGATCGACTTGGCCAGCGACTTCAACGACCGCTCTTTCTGAATCTGGCTCTTCCGCGAGGACTGGGACTGTTCAAATTCTAGGGCTTTGAGTCTCCGAACTGTCCTGGCCCGGCTAGACGGCGGAGCCAGAGCAGGCCGGCGGCGAGCGGTCGACCAAGAAGTCCAAGGCGTCTGCTTGGACGCCGTGAAGAATTGAGTGCTCGGAGACTGCAAGTTAAGTTTTTGCGCGGGACGCTTCGGTGTCTTGAAATTCGAGATGTCTCTGAAGATGGAAGAAGAGGAGGAGGATAACCTGTACGGCGATAGCGACGGACACGGTGGTTCTCCGTCCTCCATTGTCGTCGAAGTGGAGAATCAGTACGGCGTGAAAATGCAAGAAAATGGAAGAGAAAATTCGAAAGTAGTTGGTTCGTTCTTGCAGAGAGCTTTTTATGCCCGAGAAAATCAGAGAATGGAAATGAAGAGAAAAACGCAACGGATTTCGAAAGTTTTTAAATTTAAAATGCCAGAGAGAAGGGCGGGATTTTCTGGCTTTAACTCGGTGAACGATGATGATCGTGATTTCGGTGGGATGGGACACGTGCGAGGAGCCTTCATTGACTTCACACGTGTGAGGAGCTTTGAGTTGAGACGTAATTTTATAAATGTCTCTTTTATTTCACTAATTTAAATTTTTAGTTCTAAATTTTTATAATTAAAAGTTCTCAGAAAATGTCATATCTAACTTTTTCTGTTCCAGTTAAAAACTCTCAAAAAATATCACATTCAGCTTAAATTAAAAATTTAAATTCGCGAAGCGAACGAGGCCCAAGTTTTATTTGAAAACTATACTAACCCAAATCATGATTGTGCTATAGTATTTGTTATCTCACAAATAGTTTGAATTTTAAAATTTTATCTCCCATCAAATTCCCACCAATAAATCCAAATAATGATTTAAGTATGCATTCTAAACAGATTCATAATAAACCCCAATAATAATTTGAGTATACTTTTTAAACATATTTTTAATAAGATGGTCTGTGTAAGGCTGAAGAAAAAATGTCCAATTCAGTGATATTTAAACCTTTAGTCTCTAAAATTACCCCTAATAATATTATTATCATATAAAAAATCATGAGAAAATTATTGAACTTACGGGTTTAGATTTTGCCCATTACTCTTAATTAGTATAATTTTATTAGTATAATTATTTGATTAAAAAGGATATTAATTAATAATAATAGGTAAAAATCAAGACGTATGCATTAAAAGGTATTTATTAATATTTCTCTATTATCATTCTCTTGTTAACCACTGTTGTATGGGAAAATTCACACTGACACGTCGAGCAACGATCATGTCACACGTGGCCCCATGTCTGTCACGTCAGGTAGCCCTCGACGCCCGAGTCTCGTTGGTCTCTCCCATATGGTATGAGAGCCGAGCGCATAAGGGGACTGAGACCATCGACCCTATACACAGTCGAGGCCTGTGAGACCAGTTCGTGCAAATAACGTGATAGAGTCGACCGTGAGATGGGCTACTCGTGGCAAATTTTGGCATGAGCGCAGAGGGCAAAACACAAGCAGCTAGATCCACATCCCAAGGAAGACCCCTGAGGTGATTAGCTGAATATCCCTAAGGTTGCGTCTGGGTTTGGAGAAGGTCAGTTGCACAGAAAATATTTACAAGACCCTAAAACTGTCTGGAACGGATCAATAAATATTATAAAGGATCTACAGAGCCGTAATAGGAAGACAAATTGGATGAGTGAACAGTCCAAAATGTGCTTATAGGCTACGGTCTAGACAAATGAGGTAATAGGCCAGTCGAGTAAATGGGCCCCCTGGAAGAAAAGGTCAAATGGTCCAAACCGCCTACCATTGGGCAAAGCTCGTGTAATATAGGCTATAAAAAGGGGAGACCCCCCAAAAAAGAGCTGGGCTCTGGTTTTTTAGAGATATCCTTGTAAAGAACTACACATGAGAAATACAATACAATGGATGTAGCTCTTGATCTATAAGGGTGAACCACTATAAAATTTCAGTGTATTTTTATTTAAAAGAAACGTTATCATATATTCTCTCGACAAAACATCAGCACAAATTATAGTATATTCAATTAAATTACAAGTTCTAAGCCGGTAACCTAACGGGCCACTGCAGGGTAATCCGGTACGGTCTTATTGACGAAAATCGATTGTCAACAACCACTATTAAAATTAGTTATACAAAATTATAATCATTGATATAAAAAAGGGTACATATGATATAATAGATTTTCAATAGGGACGGCGATGAAACAAGGCGGGGTGGATATGCTTCCCTTATTCCCATATCTTACTCTAATTTTGTCCTCTGTGCGGTGGGATAGGGTCAGAAAGTCCCCACTAAACACCCTACTCATTTATCCATTCAAAGATAAAAATGCTTGTAATATCATTAAATCACAAAAGAAATTTTCATTAAATTAATTGAAAATTCAACAACATAACTAGTAGCACTTCACATATACAAATAAATTTAGATCTCAATTCCAAATCTAAATTCTAACAATAACAAACTAAGACCTCGTGAATTCAATTTTTCAATTTGAGTTTATATGTGATTTTATGTGAGAGTTTTTCACTGTAATAAAAAAATAAAATGTAATTTTTTGTGTGAATTTTTTAATTATAACAAAACTGAAATTAAAAACTGAAATTAATAAAATGAACAATACCTAAGTTGCAAAATTAATCCAAACTCAAACATACAGATTTTTTGTGTGAATTTTTTAATTATAACAAAACTGAAATTAAAAACTGAAATTAGTAAAATGAACAATACCTAAGTTGCAAAATTAATCCAAACTCAAACATACATAAGAATTTATGTAATTGAGACATGAACAGATACGGGGCAGTTTTCTCCGCTACTGTGCCACCTCATAATCGGGGGCTCATTTTTTCCCCCATATACCCAACCCCCAACCCCAACCCCAACCCCATTACATCTCTCATACTTCTCCTATTAGAGACAGGTATCTGCATATGCATTTTAAAAGGTTTTACAGATATAGGACTCACTCCCCTGTAAGTTATCAGTATTTTTTTTAAGTTAAATCAAAGACTATTGCCGAAGAAATTTACGTAAAACGTTCACTAGAATCGACAATACCGTGACCGTTGGCGTCAGGGGAAGCCACCCTTTCTTTGGCTGGTGATGATGAGAACCATCGAGGTTTGGTCGCAACCTGCAGCTTGTGGTGGGCAAAGAATATAGAGCTATGTTTCTTCCTTCCTTCATTCATTCTTTATTTCTTTCCTTTTTTTTCCTCTTTGAAGGGGCTTCATTCTTTCTTTCCGTGTAAAGACCAACAAATAAAAATCCAAAAATCTTGAAGAGAGTAGGTACATGGATGGATTCAAATTAATCTGACCATGTAAAAGAATTAAAAATAAAAGCCTTATTCAGTTCAGTGATTCTAATCGAGACATAATTTTAAATCCATTAGTTCGTTGATTAAAATTTTTAATTTAAATTAAAATGTGACTTTATAAAATTAAATGTGATTATTTTTTAAAATTTTGTATTGTAATAAAATTTAAATTATAAACTTATATGAGTAAAATAAACGAATTTATAAAATTTTAAAATCATTGAGATTTCAACGATTAATTTTTCCATTAGATTGGAAGGTTTTTTTTAAACCTCTGATTTAAGATGAATCTAAGATAAAGAAATCTGGGATTTGTAACGTGAGATTTCTTAAGGCCAAATAAGGGTTCTATCATAAATATGAGAGCATTTTTCGTCGGTGAAATGGCAAGAGGTGAGAGAGATTGGTAATGGCAGGAGGTGGTTGTGGTTCGACGTTTGTGCCATTTTTCAAGTGTCATTCGTGGAGTTTGCCACGTCATGAGGAGCTATATGGGGAGTTGAGAAATACCAGCCGCTAAGCTACACTTTCTGTTCATGTATATCCCCTCACCATTTGAATTTAAAATTTAAATTTTATTATAATAAAAAATTATTTAAAACAATCTAATTTAATTTTTTTATTATAATAAAAATTTTTTATATAAAATTATATTTTAATTCAAATTTAAAATTTAAATTACCCAACTAAACTAATCGTATTTTGAAAAGAGTATGCATATTTCTCGTGTAATAAATATTAAGGCCTCATTAATTTTACAGATTTAAAAACTGAGAATTGGTAAACGATGCCTAAATACTTCTTCGTAGTTTCATCTCTCCCTGGGCTCCGGCGACAAAGCGAAGACCCATGGGCTGGCTTTCTTGGCCCATTTGAGTTTATGGGCTTTCGGAGCGGCGAGGTTCTTGCCTCTTGGTTCATGTCTATCAATTGTATTTTCAGATAATTGGTCCGTGACTAACACGCGCGTTCTGATTCGTCTGGGTTTGTCATCCATGGCTTGTGAGTTGTTGAGTTGAAGCGCAAAGCCATAGCTCTGGGTTTCTTCTTCTTCTTCTTCTTCTGCCACTTCTCCGATTCGGCTCTTTTACCTCTCTCTCGCTCTCTGTCTTATACTCCTGTTCGCAAATCTTACGAGCCCCATTTTTTCTGTGTTTTTCTCCGAGCTTTTGGTCTGAGAATCCTCGGGGAAGATATATATATATATATATATTATTAAGGAATGGCGCAAGCAGTGGAAGAATGGTACAAGCAGATGCCAATCATCACCCGCTCATATCTCACTGCAGCAATCGTCACAACCATTGGTTGCTCCCTCGATGTACGCTTCTCTCTTTCTAGATTGATTCGAAAAATTCCATTGTTTTTGTTTTCTTCTGGAATGTTTGTTAATTGGGGTTTCTTTTTTTTTTTCCCCTTGTTCAAATTTGTGATATTTTTTCTGCATAAATGGGATTTTGTGGAATGGTCTAATTTGAATTGGGTATGTTTTGAATTCTCGATTTGTGGCCTCTCTCTTTTTGATTTCAGCAAGGCCTGTTTATAATTTCGTCTGTTTTTTTTTTCGGTTAGTTATCATACTATTGCGTGGTTATTTTTTGGGTTGCGATTAAGTTTTGATTTTTTTTTTTTTAGGAAGAATCTTATTGGGTTTGTTTTAATCTTAAATTACTTGGGGTTTCTTTTATGGATGGTTTTCTGGTGTTAAAATTTGCAGATAATCTCTCCTTTCAATTTGTACCTGAATCCTAGACTTGTGGTCAAGCAGTATCAGTTCTGGCGTCTCATCACCAACTTCCTCTACTTCAGGAAAATGGGTAAGTTCTTTTAACATTTAATGTGTAAACATTGGATAGGATTCGTATTCATTGGGATTAAAGTTGAATTCTTCCTATACTTAATGAATAAAGTTGCTAGGATGTGCTTCACCATATGTTATCTATATAGTTGCATTGTAATTCCTCGTCTATAAGGTCTCTTAATTGTTTTCGATAGTTATTTTCTTCGTGATTGTAGTTAGTGATGACTATGTAAACTATCGTCGGCTAAGGGACCTTTTAAGCAACACAAACTTACCCAGAAAGGATTTATTTAAAATATTTTGGGACTTATGTTTCTCTTTTCCACCTTAGTCTCGGTGCACATGTTATGTCACTTAATTATCGGCTTTTAGGCTGATAATTAGTTTAGTCCAATTGTGCTTAAAGTCATCTACTATTGATGATTTAATTCAACTATTTAACATCATTTATCTTGTCAATGCCAGACTTGGATTTTATGTTCCACATGTTCTTTCTTGCCCGATACTGCAAGCTTCTTGAAGAGAACTCCTTCAGGGGAAGGACTGCTGATTTCTTTTACATGCTCTTATTTGGTGCCTCTGTATTAACTGGGATCGTTCTTGTCGGCGGGATGATACCTTATCTTTCAGAATCGTTTGCTAAAATTATATTCCTCAGCAACTCACTAACATTTATGATGGTTAGTTTCATCACTTAATGTAAATGCATTTTTCCTGCAAGGATTACAGATGTTTCTGATATGTTATTACATTTACTATCTTACAGGTTTATGTGTGGAGCAAGCAAAATCCCTTTATCCACATGAGTTTCCTGGGCCTTTTCACTTTCACAGCAGCTTACTTACCATGGGTCAGTGGGCTTCAATGCCTTCTTAAAGTACACTGTTGAATCAATGTTTCATTTAAAGTGATTAATAATCTTGCTATATAACTATTTGCTGAGCTTGCTCTTTGGTATTAATTTGACGGCGACTCACGGATCTAATCAAATTTTTTGAGCTTTTCAGACATTCCATATAACTATTTCTAATTCTATTTCGTTCTCGTTCTTGCAGGTTCTTCTGGGATTCTCTGTCCTTGTTGGAGCCAGTGCTTGGGTTGACCTATTGGTACGTATTTGCACTTGTTGAGATATCAAAATAGGGTCCTGCAATTCATCCCTTCCCTACTAATATTTACAACTGTAACGACCTTGGTTCAGTTGGCCACATCTTTGATTAATGTGATTAATTACCTGTTCTAACTACAGTGTGGTCCTCACCGACAAATCTAAAGTCAACATTCACAGTACAGTGAACGTATAGTTACAATCCAAGTTTCTGTGCATGTTACTTGGGGGAAAAAATCCATAAATAACCAACTTCTGGTTTCCTATCGTTTTTGTTGTGAGGACTATTTACACTAAATTTTAACATATGCTAATTCCTTAGATTCGGTTTTAATGCAGGGAATGATTGCTGGCCATGCCTACTACTTTCTCGAAGACGTTTACCCACAAATGACTGGTCGTCGGCCCTTAAAGACACCATCATTTATCAAAGCACTTTTTCCCGATGAGCCTGTTGTGGTGGCACGGCCGACAAATGTAGGATTTGCCCCACCACCTGCCGAGGATCTTCACCAGGACTAGGGACACCTTATGGCAAAAAGTAAAACCAAGTTGATAGTATTCCAGGGACCTGTCATTTGAAGCAGCGTGGGCCTAGGGGACTGATTGCTGGTCTTGTAACATAGAATTCTAGTACGATTTGCTAATTGCTTTTCTTTTCTCTCCCTTCTTGTGCATTCTTTATCCAAGTCGTTATAATATCAAGATCATCAATATGTAATCAAAGGTTTTTTCAACAGTTTACCGGAAGAGATATTAGATACGGAACAAAGGAAAATGGTGTGAGAGCATTTTGTTTACCCATGAATCCGTACTAGGCTTCTCCTTTTGATACCTTGTGCCCTGTACTAAATCTACTGATTCAATTATTCTTCAATATTGCAATCCTCGAAATATCAATAACTCGAACTGCACGGTTTTGATGATACACCAAGAAGTCATGCGCAGTTCCCCTCACCTACTTGATATACGGTGTCGTTATGATTCTCTATTATGTTGTTGAATACATTCACGAATGATATTACTAATTTCATTGGCTCGAATAGTTGCCATGATTATTTGTGTATGTTTGATATATTGGTTTTGTTACAGTGTAAATCAATGGTTTTGGTTTTGTTACACTTTTTTTCTCGTAAAAAATTTAAATTTTAAGTCATAATTAAAAACTTTAATTTAAACCGTGATTTGAACTACCTATTGTCAAACTTTGCTAATATTTCTTCGTTGTTCAAAATGAATGGTTTTATTTTTGTAGTTATCTATTTCTCCGGTCTTTGCATTAATCCAATCTCAGTCATTCATTCGAAATTGAACCAAATTTTTTTAGTAGTTAGGTTGTAATTTGTATGATTCTTTGCCCTTTTTCTGCTTATGCTTTTCCTTACCCTTTGACCTTTTCGAAGGAAGTCCTTGTTCAAAAAAACTAACCCCACAAACGGCAGTTGCAGAGCTTTTCTGCAATGTATCCCTAACCCGCATTCTTAGATAGTAAATTAAATAAATTCAGTGCATTTTTCAAACGGTAATCATAAAGTTACAACTGAGGTAATCATAAACTTACAACTAAGGTAATCATAAATACTCAGAGGGTGATTTGCTGAAAAGGAAAAAAAAAAAAAAAAGGTGAGATTTATAAGCATTACACTGAGCTAGAGTGGCAACCAATCATGATATATGGTTCAACTTCCAAGGGGCCACACAAAAAAAAGTGAAAGGTACATTTACTTGCAAGTTGCAACCTTATTGATGGATCAAGCAATAGGTAGAACATGTAACGAACATTTACAACAGGAAGGCTAAAAACCTAATATATTTTAGACCATTCACTCACCAAGGACGAAAAAGATGAATAATTAAGACAAATAATCAACCGTGAGAACTCTTAAAATGGACAGAAAAATCACCTACGGCATGAAAATTACAGGAAAATTTCGTTTTGCCGCATGATCAAATAAACTGCTGACCTATCAAAAACCCATAAAGAAACCAAATCAAGCTCTCCCTGGCAAGCCGCAGATAGCTGTGTATTGCACACCTAAGAAAAAATTTCCAGCAACACCAGTCACCAGCGACACCAGAGTTCAACATCTATCTTCTATTATCTGGCAATAATGCTGCTCCTTGCTCAAAGTCCTATAGAATCCAACTTTAATACCATAAAAATTGTTTTTTCGGAGAGCAAGAATAATGTTGAGAACAAAAGATGAGACTTTCCTAACGGATCGGGTGGTATTGGGCTGATACTCTTTTGGGCGGCAGTTTTCGCAAGATGTAAAGGACAAGAGCTGAAGGCAGGATCTCAACCAGCTGTTATTGGAGGAAAATTATGTTTCAATATATGAAGTGAGGTGAAAAGTTTGACACAATTATCAAGATTGGTGGAATACCAAGTAGTAGATCAAATTCAGAAGTGGATGATCCAAAACATCTAGGGATGCATCAGCATCAAAGGCAGATAGTACAACCTGCAATTATGAACCAAGTTATGAAAATGCCCAGAAAAATCCGATGTAACCTTGTAAGGAAATGCCCTGTCTCCCACACACACAAGAGAAAGTCTTGGTGACTAGTATATGGAACGGCTTGAAGCTTACCACAAAGCATCGTATGAGAAAACAGGTAAAACATATGGCTGTCACAGATCCAACCTGCAAGTAACCAAATGTCAGTCAACAGAACACGTTCAATATGTCAATGACTTCTGTCTTTTCTAAAGGGAAAGTGGTTAAGGTGAGAATTAGGTAATTGTCTTTTCAGTTTGGACTTGGAAGATGAAATTTGGATCGTGTAAATACTTATAAAGCTTACTCTGAGATAGTGACGTGAAGTAAAATCTTAAAACTGAAAAAATTGATGATAATAATAATAATTTGGTTGCAAGAGTAACGACAAAGCACCAAGGCAGACCACATGAGTTTGGATTGTGAAATCTGTTGCCTTTGAAATTTTACTGCAATTTATTTAAAACAAAATATCAGACTCAAAGAGAAGTAATTTAACCCGTTCACTGATTGAAAATAACACCAATAGCAATTAGATGCTTGTTTTTTGTTTTTGTTTTTGTTTTTTTGGTAGAAGCAATTAGAAGCTGATGATATGTCATACAACAAACAACTGATTTTTTTTCTTTTTTTTTCTTTTTTTTTCCAATCATTGTATAAGTCATCTTTATGCATCAATATGTGCGCACAGAAGTTAATGCGGTTCCATCACACATTTAGTAGCACGTTAGACGAACTGTAAAGGAAAGGCACAAACCTCATGGAGCTTCTTCCTTCTCCCTTTAGATTCAATGGGGAAGCGTCTTAACATGAAAAATAATCTGGCATTGATGTATAGTAATCCACAAAAGACGCAACGATGCAAAAATGTAGCAATGAATGAGTACTAAATAGAACAGAGGCAGCTCCGGAAGAACTACTTTGATTATTCCATATATCATATAACACAAAACACTCACCTTCCTCCATATAGCAAGAACCCTAATGCAGCTAAGAAAGACACAACTGAACGGACAAAACAAAAACGTTAATCAATAGCAATGAGCACAGTAAAATTGTCTATAATAACTAGTAATATTAAGTCTAATTTCAGGAATGAACGTTCCAAAACCAATAAATGTCTAGATTCAAGGCCTGACCTGCAATAAATATCTTTCCAATGAATTCCACAGCACTGTTGTCATTTATCCAGAGGTATATCCAGATGCAAACCTGAAGAACGTCCCTCCTTAAGATAATTTTCCACATCAAGTAATATAATAGAAGTATGTTTCTAAACAATCAAGAGGGATTTGCACTGATTGGCTGAAACTAGCCGAGAACAAAGTACTCTAAGGGGAGCCAGCTGTCCATGTATGTACAATTTAACATCACTCTAGCAGATAAAGAGATTGATAAATACACACACATACATACATATATGTGTGTGTGTGTGAGAGATGGAAAAATAATTTCCGAAACAGAATATGTAAAGTTAGGCCCCTGGAAACATCATGTAATGAAACATGCCAAAGACTAAAAAACAAAAATGTGAAAGGAAAGGTAATTTCTCTGAGATCACAAAGAAACAATTGACTGATAAAGTATATGAAAATTATGCAGAATAAGACAACATAAGAGACAGAGCAAACCTGTATAACGTACATCACCACGTTGATTGAAATATAAAAAATCCTGAGCTTATCTGTTGGTAAACTTCTTGCCTGCCCAAAAGTTACAATTGACAAGTTAAAAAACATTACTTTTACATAACCACAATCTGAGTATCCCTAGACACGAGTATGTGTTCATAATTAATAAGAACCAACACCTTTTTACTATCAATAACTACCAAATAATCAAAGAACATGCACTTGCCTGGTGATAAATCTCTGCCCAAAAAAGGACAAGAAGTGTGTAAGTGGTGAAGAAGAGCAGTCCCGGAAGATCCAATAACACCAACGTTAATACCTGATTTAAGAAACGTCCGCACTATCTTTAGCATAAAACACGTGCGCCACATGATTGAACAAAGTAAAGGCGTCCATTTCATGGCCCACTAAAGTTTGGCATCAAACCAGCAGCTTACTTTCCCAAAATAAAATTTTAGCTCAACTCCAGAACGTTGGACAGAGCACCAAGAACGGAGTACTTTATACTAACAAAGTGAAAATATAAATATAAATATAAAACTTGAATTTTGGAGAGAAATTTCCTAAGGCATATAGCAGTTTTTTGAGTTGGTGATGAGCACAACCTCAATGTCATCTGGAATTCGTGTGAAATCAGTTTCTTTCCTACTTGACAGAGAAAAGTTATTATGCAAGTATTTATGGGTATTTGCAATTAATCATTCTGTACAGAAATAATTTAAGGAAATTTGTTAGAAGCATGATATTATATTACCATTACTTCCAGGATTAAGAAATAATTAGACATTCTCATACTAGCCCATAAAAAAACCAATTTCAATAAATCCTTGGATTTAAACACTTAAAAAACTAACCTTTGGGTGCAAAAGAAATACTTGCTTGTGAAGTCCAAAGACAATTGCACGCACTGGAACCAAAAAAGGAGGAACATAAGAAAAAAGGTAATCCAAAAATCAAACGACATCTTTACGACGCAACAAATCATAACAACGAAACTCCAAAAATCGGCAAGACTCGGAAAATCACCTCCATTAACAACAAAATTCATAAGATGGAAAACCTTCTGCGTTGTCCAACCATACTCAGGCACTCTCAACTCAATCCTTACCAATTGAAACTGCACATCATAAACCCCCACATAATCAAAGCCCACTTTCTTCCCAGCCAAAAATAGTACAGTACTTAATAATAACACAACAGTAAAATTAATGCAACTATATATTAATTCAAATACCTAAAGTTCTTCTCAGAAACACCATTACAGAAAACTTACTTAACGATTAATCTAAATCCACGATTTCTCGATAAAAATTCCTCATTTACAATCTACAAACACAACAAGTTTGTAGTTCCTACCACAGCTTATTAGGCTAAAACAATGCCGATATAATACACAAACACTTCAAGTCTACCTTTTCCAGAACCGCGATCGCAAAAATATACTCAGAACACGCAATTAATCATGTATATCAGTATATATATGGTACATATACATATATATACATATATATATATATATATAAAGAGAGAGAGAGAGAGAGAGAAGAAGAGGAAGAAGGACCAGAGCAACGGAGGAAACGAGAGCATAAGCGGCGCAGAGAGTGAAGAAGATGCCGTCCTGCCACTGAGTGGATTCGTCAATCTCGTCCCACCAATTGGAAACGAGAGCTCGCATCTCCATGGGCGTCGAGGTCAGCAGCATTCGCGTCATTTGCAGGGCTCTGGTTCTAGAGAAGCTCTGGAAAAGGGTCAAAACTCCAGAGAAGCTGAGAAAAAAACTAAACCCAACGCCCTCTTCTCGATCAATCACAGATGAGAGAAACAGAGAGACGGAGAGGAGAAGACACGAGAAAGAGAGAGAAAAATGGTGAGTCTACACCTCTATCCTATCAACCAGAAGTCAGAGAGAGAGAGAGAGAGAGACAGTGTGTGTGTGTGTGTGTGTGTGGGAGAGATGGGCCTTTTTGAAGTTGGGCTTAATTGTCTTTTCATTTTTCCTTTTTCGATCGTTCATACCTAAGCTTCTAGTGGAGTTTTAGCCAGCGAGCGGTTTGGTGGTTGTAGATTGTGCTAGTGTAGGCTATACAACAGTTTGTCTCGCTCCGGAATTTCTTTTTCTCATAATTGTTACCTATTGTTTTGTTTTCAATATTCTGTGTGGTTTGTCCCTTCCATAATATTAATATATACAAAATAAATAAGGTATTCGTAAAAAATTTATAAGTATCCAACCATTTGAGCTAATAAATAAAAATAAATAAGGGTGTATTCATTTATAAAAATTTAAATCATATTGTTACTGTGTTTTTTTTACATAAATTTAAATTTAATTTTTTTATTACAGTATTTTTCTTTTAACTACACAACTTGAGTTGTGCAAATAAACATACCTTAAAATATTTATAACAAATTTATACATATCTAACCATTTGAGCTAATTTTAAGTGGTATAATTGTTTTTTTTCTTTTTTTTAAAAAAAAAATCATTGGTATTGTTGGATATTATCAAAACAATCATCTCATCTTCTACAATTGTTCCAATTTCCAGACACGTTTAAGAAAAAACAAATAAAAATCAGACAAGGATAGCCCAAAAATCTTAAAGGTCATCAACTTTAGCCATTATAACTCACAAGGAGTAGGTCTTAAGCAAAGTCTCAAGAACTTGCCAATTATGTCAATAATATTGCTTAATTATAAAATATGGAATAAACAGTATGTTTTTTTTGTTCTGCCCCCAACACAAATTCGTATGTAGTGGGTCTCACGATGTATAACTCATTTTATTTGAGTTGAAAAAAAAAAAAAAAAACATCACTTTGTTTGAGATGTCTTATAACAAATAATATGTACAAATGCTGTATAAATTACAAATGCTGGTATTTATCTTTTCCAGTTACACATTGCTACATGAAGAGAACAATTATTTGTACTTTTTTCAAGTATCATTTTAATTCTTGTTGCTGTATTATTTGCGTACTATTATTATGATGTCCAATTTGATGATGATACTAGCATCATTAAGCTTTCTTGACTCTATTCATACTATACTTATATATATCAAGTCTGAATATATTGTTTTAAACATCTTTTTTAGAAGGGAAAATTGCCATCTTAGTTTATGCCCCCTAAAATAATTTTATAACTCGGCCACTAAAAACCAACTTAATTTTATTAACCGTCTAAATTCAAAAAGTATATATATATATATATATATATATATATTTGACTATATCTATCCAAAGGCGCCAAAGATATTTAATTAGAGGAGCTAATTAGGAGCGGCTATTGGAGAATTTACCGGGCTTTGGATTTTAAAACGCATTTAAAAAAGAGAGAATGCTGATACGTGACAAATTACAATGGATAATCTTGTGATGTAAGCTGAAGGGAAGAAGAAGGTTCGGTGGAACATTCGTTTTTTTGTGCTTTCAGTTCACTTGGCCCCCCACCAAGAGGCCGATACCACAGAAAGAAGTTGACAGAACGCTTGGCTCAAATAAAGCAGCGCCATTTTCACATGAACGTGGGTGGCCAGAAGTTGTTGGGAAATTATTGGCTTATTTTTTTGCACCCATATTTAAAAAAAAATTTAGACTCAAGTTATTATTTTATTTAAATTCATATTATTTTATAAAATTTTAATTTTAATTTAAATTTTAACTTGAGTTTAGGGCTAAAATCTGTTCAAACTCCCATTTTAACTTAAGTTTTTAAACTTAAATTCAAGTTAATAAACAATATTTTCTCTATTATTAAAACCGTCATTACTTTTTCGTTTTAATTCTAATTGAGATAATTCTTTTTTGTATGTGTTTACAACGAATAGACGAATAAAATCTCACTCATATATCCTATTAAATTTTGTCATCATTATTGAATTTTTATTAAAATACTATCTAAATACAAACTCAAGTTTTGACCCTCCTAAATACAAACTTAAATAGATTCACAATTCAAACCATAACTCAAATGTACACATCTAAACACAAACTCAAATTAGATTATCAATTCAAATCATACTCAAATACACCTTAACTCAAATCAAGATCTGAACTCAAATCACCATAACTCAAAAATTGTAAATGAACAAGTCTTATAGTTCCTATTATCTAATGTGGGCCACATATTTAATTAACAATTATATTAGGCTATTTAATTATAATGGGTTAATTAAGTGGTCTAATTAGGAGAGTCTAATAAGTCTTCTAATTAGATATGTGATAAATGAGTGGATACCAATGCTTATCCAATCAGGTTTAATGGGAGCCTATTAGATAAGTATATAAGGACTTTTAGGTTATGGTCCTCAATACGTCAAATCATTCAGTCGTTTTCTCTTCTTTCCCATTTAGAGAGAAACACCCCATAAGGAACTCTGATGATTTGACTGAGTAAGATAATAACCGGTTTGTCAATCGTCGTAGTAATTCTGCAAAAGTGTCAATTATTATTATTATAAATTCAGGTACGTTTTCTCAAATTTTCTTGGTAATTTGGCATGATGATTCTTGGGATTTATGAATATGGTGATTAAAATCATATCTATAATTAAAGTCTTATAAGTAGTATCAGAGTAGTCATCATGTTAAATAATTAAGGAATTTTTTCCTCTCTAGTATTTCAGCCCCATAGTCTATCTTTTCTTGGTTGATACATTTATCATTCAACATAGATATTAAATACTTAATTAAATTTCAGCCATTCAGTATTTTGGTTGATATGTATGTAATATTAATTGAATTTGATTTATCAGTTTCGGTTAATTGTTTCTGTTCCCTTTTGTGTATATATACATATATATTTTAGTTAATATAGATTTCTGTATTGATCTTAACTATGGAAATTCATTCGTTAAGAAAAGCACGTTAGTTATTATTCATGATATGAATTTTGGGATTGAATTTCTTTGATCAAAATATATTAAAATAAAATATTTTTAGATTTATTATTTTATTTAACATATTTATTTTGGTTTTGAAATTCTTGAGGAAATAAAGAACTTGGCCGACGACAGCCTCTGTTGCCGCCAGCGTTGAAGGAATCCAATCGCGGCCGTTAGGTCGCGCCGGCGGGGACAGCTGCAGCCATCGACAGCGTAAGGAAATTGGCAGCCTAAGGAAAGAAAAAAAAATATTGGGAAGCTAAAGTTTTGGCCGACAGCAACCCTTGCCACCGCCAGCATTGGATTTCCCGGTCACGGCCATTGGGCCGCGCCGGAGAGGAATGGCCGCAGTCGTCTAGCTGCGGCATCTGGAAGTGGCGATCATTTGGCCGCCTGGTTAATCAAATAGTCAAGAGACCCTTAAGGTTTTGCAGCTTTGGGATTTGAAGCCCAGAGCTATGGGTATTAAGTAAACACAGGCCCAATTGGGCCCGTAAGTGAAGAAGAAGGAGCCGCATGTTTAACCTGCGGCAAAAAAAAAAAACAGAAATAGTAGAAAATAGGCCAATATAAAAAGCTTAAGGAAGTATATATGCCAACTTTTAGTTATATAAATCAATAGGCCATAACTTGTCAAGTTATGATTCATAACCAGATAAGTTATGGACAAACTTGTCAAGTTTTGTTTCATAGTCAGACAAGTTATGGACAAAAACTGTGATTTATGGACAATAACTTGTCAAGTTATGGTTCATAACCAGACAAGTTATGGACGAAAATAGTAATTTGGCCTATTTATTAACTTATGTAAACTATTGGCTTATTAATTTTAATTCATTTCAAGTCTTGGCCTATTTTTCTCTTTCTCCCCTAAAAAAAAGACCTTCTGGCCATTAGGAATACACAGGCCCAACTAGGCCCGTGGCTCAGGAAGAGAGGCCGCAGGTGTTAGTAAGAAATTTTGATATTTTTGGGCAATCTGGGCATTTAAAGCACATTTTGATATTTTTGAGTATTTTGGGAACTTTTAACCCATTAAGGAATTACGTGCAAATTAATTAAAGAAATTAAATAAAATAAAATTTTGGTTTTATTTTATTTTATTATTATTTTGCTTTAGTTTTTTTGCACTAACTTGTCTAATATTTTAAAATAAAGTAATTGAAATAATATGTTGTCAAAGTAACCTCTATTATGGAAGTTGATTTATTTTAAAATATTAAGATGTGTATGTCTATTATTTATGCAAATAATGATCGGCCCAAAAGAAGGTTATTATTTGGTCAAATAATAGACATACCTGTGGTGATAAATATGTGATGATTATCAAGTTTTTCCATGTAAGCAATAAGTATGTCTAAAAAAAGACTTATTATTTGACAGGACTAATTGTCAATATTTGCTTATTGTTTGACATGACTAATTATCAATATTTGATTGCTACGCATAAAGTACCACTTACTATGGATATTTATACCCAAACACTAAGGGTTCGTTTGGTATGAGGGTTTAAATCGGGGTGATTCTAGTTTTGATTTTAGAACCAGAATCATGATTCATGATTTTGGGTCCAAATCATGGTTCTGAAACTAAAACCAGAATCATGGGTTTAAACCACCCAAAATCAAGGGGGTGGGTGATTTTAGAATCATGGGTGATTTATAGTTTAAAACATCACATTAGGATTCAAACCTTGAATCAAAACCATCCAAACCAAACACTGATTATGGGTGAGTCAAATCAAAACCACTTTTTACTTTTTGTAACTAAACACTGGTTTGAAACCAAAATCATGATTATGGGTTTAGAATCCTTATACCAAACATCCATTAGATATCAAAACGTTTGTGTATTTGTTATTTTATGCGAATTGTAACCGGCCCATAAGGAAGTTTATTTTTTGGCCCAGATTGCAGGACTAATTGTTAATATTTGATTACTACACACAGAAAGTACCATAAACTGTGGATATTTCTACCAAAACACTAAATATCAAGATGTTTGTGTGTTTGTTATTTTATGCGAATTGTAACCG